TCTAAATAATGCTGTACTCAAAATCTGTCGTTCGTTATGCACAAAAGCTGCACATATATATATATATATACACACTCAGGACCTGCAGCTTCTATATCTAACACTGCGGCTCTATCCTACATTACCTGAAATTTGTGATTTGATTTTCCAACAATATTCTCAGCCTTTCTTTGATTTCTTGGAACTTTTCTTTTTCTTCATGTGTAACTGTTCCCACTCCATCTGGTCTGAAATGGCATTGCATACACTGTGAATTCAAAGTACAAAACTGACAAAACAATGTACAGTAGAAGACCTCCATATTACAAGACAGTTATATTACAAGCTTATTATTATTTAAATTGCAGTTAAACGAATTTGTACTCTTCTCTTAACACAAATGAATAAGAATACTTAGTAGGAAGAAGTACAATGCCAGAAAAGTTACATGTTTGGTTTCTAATCACAAACTTGCTAATATGAAAAAGAGAAGAAAATAATACTAATTTATGATTCTTCAACCACCTCAATGCATTAAATCAAGTTTTACAGAGGGAAATAATATTAGTTTGGGGTCTACAGTATATCATGTACTATTCACTCCTATCATCGTTCATTGGAACAGAATTATCAGTTCAGATGTAAACATTCATTCATTTATTTATTTTAGCTATATATGGGATGTTCAAATAGCTCAGTTGGTATAGCAACAGGCTACAAGATGGATGGCTGGGGTCAGATTTCTGGCAGTCACAGTGTCAATACCGGCCCTGGAGCACACTCAGTCTCTTATTTAATGGGTACTGGAGGTTCTTTCCTTGAGGGTAATGTGGCTGGAGTGTGAAGCTGACAACTCACTTCCATCTATTGCCGAGGTAAGAATGATGGAGCTACACTTCCGCTCACCCATATTTACTCATGGTGTGAGCTTAATTCATTAAGCATATGGACTTCACCTTTGCAGATGGGAAGCTCATATTTCGTTAGAGGGAAGAACACAGACATCAATGATATTATCAGATGCAGTATTTCAACTGGCACCTTAAAATGGTCCACAATTTGGAGTCTGTACATTCCTCTTGTATTCATTCATATCGTGACATGAGGGCTCAAAGCCAAAACTGTGTATTCAGAAGAGACATTCGTTGCGAGACAACAGTTATGTAAACATTTTTCCTTGGCAACATACGATGGGGTACCCAAAAGAAACCAAACTAATTTTTTTGTGGGCAGAGCTTTTGTAGTACTGCGTTTTGCCGCTATGAGTGCATAGAGCTAACATTCCTGAGTCGATAAGCCGACTACCGTTGCTTCAGAAGGTAAGGACTAGTTTTGGCAGAGTTTATAGTGACAACTGTTTTCTGTGATCGTCGTTTTTGCAATGGCTGATTTTCATGAACAGCGTGCGGTGGTGAAATTCTGCTTTTTGCTTGGAAAAAGTGGAACAGAAATTCTTGAAATGTAAAAAACGGCGTACAAGGACGATGCTATGGGGAAAACTCAAGTGTTTGAGTGGTTTTCCCGTTTCAAAAATGGTGAAATGTCAATTGATGACAAACCTCGTTCTGGTCGTCCTTCCACGGCCCGAACACATGAAAATGTTGAAAAAATTCGTGAAATCATCAAGGAAGATCGACGACGGACCATTGAAGAAATTGTGGAGCTGTCGGGAGTGACTTGGAGCTCAGCGGCCAGATTTGTGGCAGTCGGGTGACTGGTTTTTCCATCATGACAATGCCCCTGCTCACANAATAAAAGACTAGACAAGTGTATTAGTGTAAGTGGAGAGTACTTTGAAGGGGATTGAAGGTTTGTGCTTAAAATTTGAATAAATAAGTTAAAAAAAAAATAAGTTCGGTTCCTTTTGGGTACCCCCTCGTATATACATGCAACAAGAAAGGAACTGGTGGAATCAGTGTTTTATATGGGGCCAACCAGAGAACCAAAATCAGTCGGTCGAAGGTGAATGTCAATGCCAAGGGATACACAAAGAAAGGTGACCCCCAAACACTGGGTGTCTACCTAGGTCTCTTTGCCAATGACACCTGTATAAATGTGACAAAAGGCAAAGATGGTTACGTGTTCAGAAAGCTGCAACGAGGTCTCAGTGCTACTCAGATGTGAGTACATAAAAGTCAATGAAGATAAGGTCCAGGCTATCTAATTTGTTTATAGACTTAGGCCCAATGAGGCCTTCATCCCCTTCATCAGTCATGTAAAATATCTCAGCATAACCTTCGATATGAGGATTACATGGAAACCACACATAGGAATGACTGAAACTAAGGCCTTCAGAACATTTATCAGTCTACTCCATAATAAAAAGTGAGAGTTTAAGCGCTGACATCAAACTAACCCTCCAAAGAGAACTAGATTAGTAATGAATTATGTTTGCCCATCTGGGAAATTGTGGCATATACCCACCACTTGAAATTGTAGTGCCTGTAAAATATGCTTCTCTGCACAACAGGAAATTTTCAGTGTTGCACACCGGTACGTGATTTGCACATGACTTTCAACCTTCTGTATGTACAAGGTTGCGCCATAGCTCATGCGGTTAGTTGCTGGCTTCCCACCGCAGCGGCCCGGGTTTGATCCTGGGTCTGGTCAAGTGGGATTTATGGTGGACAAAGTGGTGCTGGGGCAGGTTTTCTCCGACTACTTCGGTTTCCCTTGCCAATCTTCATTCCACAAAATTATCCATCATCATAATCACCCGGGGCAGGTACAATAGGCCAATCAGTGGCTGCCATGCCGAGTGGACCCAGTTGGACTCCACCCCCCACTAAGCGAATTAATTCTGTATGTACATATATGATTACACAGGAAAATTGTGCAGGCAACAAGCAAAGGTCACAGAAAATCAGGAGAATGAACATGTTCACAGCAGAGGAAAAGGCAAAGCCACACACAGAAAATATGAAAGGGTTAAACTTGGCAGTAATCAAGCTTATGACAGTTCAAGTGACTAAGCTGTCATTGTAGCATAAAATAAATAATTTAGGAATGATCTGCTCTGCAAAACCTGGACTGACAGATGGCTTACATAAATTGTAAATTGTAAAATTATGTAGTGCATAATTCCAATTGTGTAAAGAATGTAACTTCTGAACTCCCGTGTAATTTGATTAAAATTTATGTCAGATGGTCAAACATGGAAACTGGTTAATCACATGAAACAGATTATGTTCTATGGTCACTACATTCTGTTAGGTTTACCTGAAATATTGTCTCACACAGAGAATATTTAATATGGCATTTTTTAAACTTCACTGAGTATAGATGAAGTTCATATTTTCAGAACCAGTCATATGTTTATTTAACAGTGTTTCTTCAACTGGTTAGAATAAAAAGAAGGCATGTCATAGTTGTCCACAAATAACAATGCACACTATGTTAACTTATCTCTTCAACAGAATGAAACAAATATTACTTTATGATAGGTACCTAAAAATTAAAGAAAGAGGGTGTGCATGGAATAATAATGTGATACATTGATCCACTGCTAGGCAACGGCTAGATAAAGAGTGCTGTCAATCCGGGGAAGCGGAAAACAGTCTTCCTTCGTGACTTTGTTTAATTTCCTGTAATCCACGCAGAAACAGAGCTCCTGATCCTTTTTTCTGACCAGAACGACGGAGGACGACCAGCGGCTGTCTGATTGCTGGATAACTCCATGACGATGCATGTCATTGAGCATTTCGCTTACATCAGCTTGCTTTGCTAGGGGTAGCCTCCTGCTACAACGGCATTCTAGTCACGGCCGTATGCTTGACCACCGCCAAGTTTAAACCTCTTATACTTTCTAGGTCGTGCTTCGCCCTGTCCAATATTGCAAACATTTTCGTTATCATGATTTTGTATGACTTCTGCTTGTTGCCTGCATAATTTTGTTATACAAGTATAATCATATGTGTACGGAATTTTGATAGTCATGTGTAAATCGCGAACTACCAATATTCTGGGAATCTCATTATACAACCGTGGCATGTACGACACAGAAAACACAGTTCTATTGCAAGAACAATTGCATAACTTAGCAATTGGTCACAGAGAACCTAATTCCTATTGTTGCTAACTGCAGACCACAGAGAACACACAGTTTCCCCTATATTGTTACATGCTGGGAAGTGTTAGTGAGCCATTGCCTGGCAATGTTTTGATAAAATCTGTTATCTTATGAATGTTAACATATTCAGCATTACTGCAAGAGAAAACACAGAGCTCTTTATGCACATTGCAATTCTTCCTTCTGGGATCTATTCCAAGAAGTTGGCAATTCATATGTTACTGAATTTATATCAAGTCAAGCTAAGAAATAAACTGAAATATTTTCAAAACAACCCGTTATACTGAAGAAGAATGCATGCAACACTCGATCTGTTTATGTGCTGGTTCCTACCGCCAAAGATTATATATGCAACCTGTGAGGAGGAAGCGGATTTAGCAAGTACATGCATACAATTTCTAATTTGTGTTATAACTAGTGACAGTTTTAGTTTGCATGTGAACACCAAATGTTCCAATTCAAGATAGAGAAGACGTACTTTTGCTACTGTGATAAGGTTCTAGGAGTGACATTTTATTTTTCTGGATGGCTGAGATTGCAAGTGAAAAATATTTTTATAGCCATGCTGGTGATGTCACTTTGGTCTGTTTTCATTGCAATGACCTTATAAATTGAAACCTGGAAGGTTATTCAATGTTGCAGAAATTAATATTATGTAACACACTTCATACTATGGAAGGTATTATCAGTAGAGCTAGGACTTTTATGTAAATACATATTTCACTAAGTTGTATGAGCAGATGCTCCAAAATTAATAATCTCCACGAAATGCAGCATTAGCAATGCTGTAGTTGAATTTCATTCTACATATTTTAACATATTTTGGCATTTTCTACGTGTTTCTTATGATGTTACATAAAACTACACATTTTGAGATATTTTTCTTTACTGCCATTTTTAACTGGAAATTGCTTATATCTTTGTGTGTTTCAGTTAAATACCTAATAGTCTCCCCACACCTTCCAAAAGACTTCTTTCTGCAATGATGAAATACAGAAGGAAATATCCCTTTTGTAAAGCAGAGTAAACTAACCCCCTTCCCAGGTATTGTATTGTATTGTATTTTATTTTCATCCGTTTTGCTACATAGTAACATTTGGACACGTCATTCAGTAATATAAGTTAACAAAATAAATCTACATAGTTACAAGCATACTACGAACTATATTGATTGATTAATTGATTGATTTATCCAGGAGTACAACTTAACAAACAAACCTACAAAGTTACAAGGATACTAACAACATTTTACAATCCTAAGCAATATGTAGATACTACATTTGAAAAAGAAAAAAGAAAAAAATACACAAATCATTGTATACAACTTATGATTTGCACTCATTAGTGAGCTGTGCATTGGGGATTTTTCTAAGAATTGAAATGGTGTTCCTTTGTATTGCATTTAAGATCCCTTCCCCTCTCACCAGACATACCCATCCACTCCCAACAACCAACATTCTTGTCCTGAACTCTTTAAAAGTGATTTTAGTTTTGCATGAGCAGTTCAATGACTTAAGCTCAAGTATGCATAGCCAATATCATCATGGCACTGGTTGCATCCTTCCTCGCATTAAAGTTAAATTTGTGGGAAAAAACAGCTCATTCCTTCACAACCGATGGGAAAACTGTAAAAGTTCCACTTGCAACAAAAGTATTGGGTGTTCCATGAAATCACAGTTGGAGCAACATGTACAAAATATGCTACATATAAAAAACAAGTAACTGAAGTTTTTGAAGAAGCAAGTGCTCTTAACACAAATGCAGCAATCTTGAACCTCAAGAAACAAGTTCTTCAAGGATATGTGTAGCTGGATGGTGTCTGCCAACATCCCCTGGTTTAAAATCCAAATGCGTAAATTTCAGTCCAGTTTGGAAAAGTATTACAAGCAACACATTCTAAATCAGTCAACACTTCAAAAACATTATCTTCCTATCTGCTATGAAGAAACCTTGGAAAACGTAAGAGGTAACACAGGAGATGGCTTTATATGGGTTGCCGTGGATGAAACAACGGATTCTGTGGGCTACTTTATCGCAAACCTTGTGGCTGGAAAGTCAGACACTAAGGTTGCCTGGCTCATGGACTGCAACATGTTGCTGAGGGGGTCAGAGCCAAGTCCCCCAAGTGAATAAATCCATTTCGATGACGAAAAAGAATGTGCTTCTGAAAGCCCCACATTAGTGCAATCCTATATATAAGCAGCACTTGCCAGATGCACACTTGCCCCCCCAAAACCAGTGCCAACAACATGGGGAACCTCGACAGAAGCACTCAAATTCTACAGTGAACACTTTGAAACTGTGAAACCAATTGTAGCCATGTTCCCATCTGAGTCTGCTGTTTCAGTGCACAAATCCCATGGTGCATTCAGCAATCCAAAAGTGGTTTGTTTAACTTTCTAAATCCAAAGCAATTCAGCTGGCTTCCAGACAATATAAAACGTTTAGGAACCCAGGGACTTCCTCTGCAAGAATCTATGGACATAATGAAGAATGCACGTGGACAGTTTAGTATTGTGAAATGAGAGGGTGGTGGAAGTGGCCATGAAGTTCCAGGCGGTGTTAAAATGTAACCTTGGATTTTCAACATTTGCCAGTGTCTGTCAAGTACTTGATAGAGATGTTGTATATCTCCCTGAAGACATTTCTCCTGAACAAACTCCTTTGTTAAAATATGCACCAGTGGCATCTTGTGATGGACAAAGATCCTTTTCAGTCTATGAACACATTCTATCATAGAGAAGACAATAAATGAACTAGAAAATATGGAAAAAGTTTTCAATTGTGTAAGGCACATCAAGAAAATGATTTTGCCAAAATATTGTAAATAAAGGTTGTTTGTAAAACAAAATTATTTTCATGTGATGTTACATATTTTAATGAATCCACATATTTCACTACATATTCGAAATATTTTTGTTACATAATTATGAACATATTTTGAATGATGATACTACATAAAAATCCTAACTCTAATCAACAGAATTTTTAAAATTAATAAAGCATATTTTACAGTGTATTTTATAGAAGCGAACAGATGATGCCTTCCAACCATCAGACAATATATTATAAATAATAACACAATTAGATTTATTGATCTGTGTAAATTAAGGAAGTACTCTACTTCATGATTGGTTTGACTCATATATCTAGTACATAAAACTGGGAACCAAATGTGCTGGCCTAACAAAAGAACATATGAAGAATATAATACTACATCACATACACTTGTTAAAACAATATTCCTAAATACTAGTCTAAAGCTGCTGTATAGTAAAATCCTTCCACCTTTGTGCGATATCCCTGAGAACCACCCTAGTCACCCCTTATTTTCCCTACATGCTTAGGCATGCCTTACAAACAGACACTGAGTGTTGTGGTCCCACTGGAAATGCAGAAGATTTCATAACTGGCCCTATACATTCAATATACTTAATTTTCTGTGGATGGGAAATCAAGTTCAAATGTCAATAAACATGATCTATGTCTATAATCAATGCTAGTAGCATTTATGAACACCTATACCTAAATAATGTCTTATCTCTCCTTGTGGCAGTGGTGGTGGTGGTGGATGGCGGCGGCAGAGGTGGTGGTGGTAAACATGTTGGATAATTTTAATGTGAAGTAATGATAGAGACTTAATAAAGTAAAATTTATATTTCCTAGGAACTAATTTTCAGATGTCCCTTTGAAGAGGAAATAAACCAAAATGTACTGGAACATAAAATAGATACAGTTTATTTATTATAATCTCATACTCCACTGATAAGTATTTAAATTTCACTGATAATTAATTTTTCATTTTGGGATAAAATTAAATATTCATTTAATACCTTTTAGTGAAACAGATGTATATACATACAATGTCATGCATAAATATTAGAACACATGCAAATTACCGTAAATACTTAAGCCTTTAAATAATCATGTGTTGCTGCAAAATAAACAAAATTAATTTTGAAAGAATTTCAGTAGCCTAGATGAGAATGCAAATGATCACTACATTTTACACTTACTCATTTAAATGATTCAGTGAGAAAACATGAAATTATTAACTGAAATAACATGCTAAGATATCACACAGATGTGGTGTTTGTGAAACTTATGTAAGAGACAGGAGTACCACTGTATAGAAGTAAACCATTCTAAGATTGCACATTTTTCAGTGTTGCAAAATGAATTTGAACATTGAAAGTTCTTGCTTACTGCATATAAAGCCCGACAGCACCACAACACTCTCCATTCACATGCAAATATCAACACCCACAAAAGCAGAATGAAAACAGTAGTGTTCAAGTGTTTACAAACCTGGCCACAGAGGTATCTTCAAGCACCTCCGTGCTAAGTAAAGGACGGTTAAGCATTAGAGTGGGGGACTGTCCGTTAGGTACACTGCAATGCATACCTGCAGCTCAAGCTTCCTCATTTGAAAAAAACATTTTTAAATACACTGTATTTATCCTTTGAAATATAGAGATGTAAAATCATAGAATTAAGGAGTGATCAAGGAACAGAAACCATAAATAATTAAGGAAATGAAACTGTAGCAAGGACGTGGAATTCAAATCTCATTTCTCTACATGAAATTAGCCACAGAGAAACTTCCAAATAGCATCTCTGAATTAATGAAACAGTGCATTTTACAGATATAAACATTACATTCTATAATTTGAAATATTAATTATATGTCAATTGGAATCTAATCCACCTGGGAACATACTAGATAGTGAATGCTGCAAGAGTCCCCAGACTTATAGATCAATTTGTCTGCATTTTGATTGAAAGAATAATATTTAGAAATGCTTAGTTTATAATGAAAAACTTACTTTTGAAAAGCTAACTATAAACCACAACACTATAATTATAAATCTTCATACAAATGTGTAATATCCTGGACTATTTTAAAAAGTGCATACAGGAGGGTCCCTTTTCTTTATGATTCTTATAGCAAATTTCTGAACGAACAGACATATGCTTATTCATTAATGTTTTCTTAAATGTTGTCTGAGGATGAACTATAGGAATTAATACTAGCTATTTTAGAGTATATGTCTTGTGTAAGAAACTACTAACTTAATAGTAGTTACAGAACAAAACACTTTATATATATATATAAAGTTTTGAAGGTAGTACAGTTTTATCCAGAAAGCAACTCTTTATGGCCACATTTTAACAAATACTGGGGTATTAGTGGATCACCAGTATTCACATGATCATTTCAACTTGAAAAGTCAAATGAGTTATGAGGCAGCCTTTCTTTCCCTCCCTTTCTCTTCCATTGAAATGCTGGTCTACCATACAATTTACAATAACATCTTATGACAAAACATCTCTTGTTAAAATCTTGGAGAGATGTAGGGTTTACCTCAGATCAACCAATTTATAACAATGCAAACACAAACTTTATCTCTAAGTCAAATTCTCTTTATAACCACACTTTGTGGATGCAGTTTAAAGTAAACTGTACATATTAGAATATATTTACAGAAAAGACACAAACCATAATAATGTCTGGAGGATGTGCAGGAGGAAACCAAATTACCATTACTACAAACAATTTCAGACTTTATAAATTAGTACAATAATAATAGCAAATGTATTAGAAGAACATCAAACATGTATTTTTACCTTTACCAATTTTAACATCTCAGTTTCATTTTTTAATATGCTACTGTTTACAACTGGCTATACTGATTTTATTACTACAAAAATAGGATCAATGCAGGATTTCTGTCCATTTATAGGTGAACATGAATGGATATATTTTTTGTCAAATTATGAACCATGCATACTTATACGCAAATCAGGATGACCAAAAAGGAAAAGTATAAAAAAAGAGTACAAAATAATATCAGGTATTTAATAATGCCTTCACACCGCTGCAACATGAAAATCATGCCAGACTTTGGGTCACATAGACAGGAAACACAGAACATGAATCATAATTGCCACTCCCACCCCACCACCCCAAAAAGAAACAACAAATTGTTACAGGATTACAAGAAGGGACACAAGCTCTTGGCTGCAGGTTTACAGTGCTTTTGAAAACAGAGAACTACAGTGACATGATCACATGGACTTCATAGTTGGTTGTCATGCATTGCAGCTTATAGCTCTCAATTTCACATTAAAATATTATTTCTGTTTCAAAGTGACATACACAATAATGGCTAACAGACAAAATAAACAAAATATGACTGCATATTTAGGAAAACAAATGGAAATTTTGCAAAACATGCATTGAAATATGATGGAAAAGATAGTTCATAGGAGTTTCTGAAGAGAATGTGTTTCTTTAGACTGATGCATATGTTGTCACATAGCTCCATCCCATAAGCTAGTTGTCTTCATGAAGCTGAAGAAAACCAACATTTGGAAATAGGTGAAATTGGAAAATAATGTAATGTTGTGTATTAAAATCGAATAGCCAAATGTTGTCACTTATACCTGATAATCAGTAATTACTTTATTTACTCATGTAATTTACATACTTTCTCTTATGCAAAAGCTCAGGCCTCAAAAACGCAGTGTGTATAATAAGAGAATACTACTTTCCTGAGTAAAATTTTTCATATTAGACTGTGGAAACTACAGCTGAATGTGAAGTGACAACATGGTAGTAACATTCATGCCTAAAAATTTTATTGCATAATTTCTTGACGAGCAGTGAGATGCAAATGCCCCTTAATAAAATTTCAACTAATACATAATTTTTTGTGGATAGTGCAGTTAAAGTTGTTTATGATGTGGGAAGACTATGCAGCTAATCCTGCATACAGGCTCCATCACCTGATTCCTTATTGAACACTGAGATGAAAATTTCCCTTGTTAGGATTACTATTGACATGTAACATTCATGGAAAAAGCCACTAATACTGAACATGATGTGGTGACGTGGTATTGGTGTTTGCACCTATGGACTCCATCATAGAATTCCTTGATGAACATTCAGATGGATTTATTCTTTTACAAAATTTTGCTCAACTTGAAATTTTCTCTGAAAATGTGAAAGTTCAACATGATGTGTGCAACATAGTATGAATTGTACCTATAAAGTTTATCATGTGATTTCATTATTAACACTGAACTGAAAACGCCCTTAGATTGTATTGCAACCAAAGCATAACTTCTGCAGTAATGTTTGAATAATACACATAATTTTAATCACAATTATGAATTGGTTGAAACTCTATAGTGGGTACAAATTTGGTATTTGATTTTGTCTGATATTTCTTATCTAAAATTCTGGGTACATAAATTACTGAAGTACTTATGGCACAGGAAATGTACTCAAACTTTGTAACTGTGTAATATTTCAGTATCTGCACAATAGAATATCCCCATTGAACAGAATAATTTATCAGCTGTGTAGTGGATAATATCTGTCAATGGTTTACATATATGCATACACTGCTAGGAAATAAAATGCAATGTAATGTCGTGTAATGCAAATGTACACAGTCTTACTGCAGACAATATTTTAAATTTTTAAGACAAACTTTTGTTGAATATGATTAGACTACACATGTTTGTAAGTATAAATCATTAGTGAGTTTTATTCTTATACACATACATGACCTTCATTATGTTAGTAACAATATTAATTTTGACAGTGCACACTAAAAGTACAATGACATGATTTTAAATTGCAGTAATGCCTCCAAGTTGAAAACAATATCCACAGTTTTTACCCCATGTTCAAAGGAGGGACTCAATGCACCTATTCCAGCATGAGATGGATTCAACAGGAACCAACATGAATATAAAATATAGAATTTCTGTTTATTGCACTTTAACAAGCTAACAAGTTTGTCAGTATCCAAAGCTAGTTCAACTGGTGTACAATCCTTCTATTACTATGTAGAATTATATTTATTTTTCAACAGTTAGAACTCTGTGTGACCACAGCAGTTGCTTGTTGTTAGATATATCTAACACTGTAATTAAAGGTTAACAGATGCCTCTCAAACTTCCCTCCCAGGTCATCACTCAAAGACACACCATCATTTTGATTCTATATTCTTCATGCAGTTAATAAGGAACTGCACAACAGCCCAACAGTATACTTTAAATTTTAACACTATCCATGATACCTGACTTAACTCCATGAAAAAGCACAATAGCCCACTGTAGGTCGCAGTGCAAGGGCTGAGGAGGCCTACCCCTCATACATCCATTCATATCGCCATGAAATATATTACATATACGATGGGGTACCCAAAAGAAACCGAACTAATTTTTTTGTGGGCAGAGCTTTTGTAGTACCGCGTTTTGCCGCTATGAGCGCATAGAGCTAATATTCCTGAGTCGATAAGCCGACTACCGTTGCTTCAGAAGGTAAGGACTAGTTTCGGCAGAGTTTATAGTGACAACTGTTTCGTGTGATCGTCGTTTTTGCAATGGCTGATTTTCGTGAACAGCGTGCGGCGGTGAAATTCTGCTTTTTGCTCGTGAAAAGCGGAACAGAAACTCTTGAAATAATAAAAACGGCGTACAAGGATGATGCTATGGGGAAAACTCAANTGATCCCTGTTCCTCACCTTCCATACTCACCCGACCTTGCCCCGTGCGACTTTTTTTTGTTTCCCCGAATGAAAAGAGACATGAAAGGAAAAAACGACGGAGGCGCTGTCAAGCATCTCAAAAGATGAATTTAGACAATGTTTTGAAAAATGGAATAAAAGACTAGACAAGTGTGTTAGTGTAAGTGGAGAGTACTTTGAAGGGGATTGAAGGTTTGTGCTTAAAATTTGAATAAATAAGTTAAAAAAAAGTTCGGTTTCTTTTGGGTACCCCCTCGTACTGCATATTTTAGCAGCCTCCACAGTCTAGGGGTAACGTTCCCACCTCATGACTCAAGGTACGTGGGTTCAAACCCGGTGGAGGTCATGGAATTTTTAAGGGCGGAAAAATTCAGGGAAGAAGTCCTCTGGGAGGGACTTTAAGTCGTGGGTCCCGTGTCATAGATTTACGGCACTTAAAAGAACCTCATGTCTCCAAAGGAGGCCACTGAGCTAAATTAAGAACATTTCCCACTCAACAGTAGTCTCTAACGCCTCTGGTAGATGGGCGAAGCATCGAGATATCTCTGAGTCAGCCTCGCTGGCTGAGTCGGGACTGATGGTAAGCACCAGTACCAGGAGGGTATGGCGCCAGTAGAAATTAAAGGGGGACGCACACTGGACCAATAACTGGTCTAAGTTCATGGGGAAACCCACCCCCTCTAATAATAATAATAATAATAATAACAACAACAACAACAACAATAACAATAATAATAATACTGCATATTTTTACACGTCGCAGAACATTTTAATAAAATCTTGGATTCAACTGAAGTTCAATGACATGGATCAACTGAAGAGACATTTTAAAGAAACACTCTTGACATCAAATTTTCATGTCCCCTCTTTAGTAAATACTATCTGAATTATATCCAATATGCAGGTATTGGCTGATTTGTGGTCTGAATTAATCTTTTGCACTGAGTCCCTCCATGCCTTGAATATATATAAACAGAAACACATACGGCAATACACAAGAAATAATAGTACTCACCTGTTGCCATGTACATGGCTAGCACAGAAGGCAAAGCTGTAGTGGATTAATGTTGGGTCTATCATGATGCCCTTCTCCGCTCTATCCAGTAAGTCACTAAGGTAACACAGGTGGCGATAACATCCTCGTACTCCGTATCTTGCACAGTATTCATCCAGTACAAACACTTGCCCTGGACTAAACCAGCCCTGTAAAGACATCACTAAATTTATCTAATGAAATAGAATATTTACCTTCATAGATCTGAATATTTGATTATAATTTGATCTGCAGGTTCTGTCTGATGATCATTTGTCCATTTTGCTGCTGAGTTAACATATTTGAATATGTTTTTTTAAATCAATGACAAATTTCATACAATCAATTCATTACATTTTAAAAGACTGTATTGCTAGTTTCAAAATGTAACCATACCAGGGAACAGTATGGGTCATTCAGTCTATAATCCAGTGTCAATGTTTGCAGCATTTTGAAGAGGGATGCATGATCAAATTTACATGGATCAGCAGATATGAATTCCTCCATCCCATGCTTTCTTGCCCTGTCAGCATCTGGAAATCAAGAGAACAACTTAAATTTATACTTTAAATTACGCTGTACAGAGTATAACCTTCATTATGAATTTATCTAAACTGCAGTTTGCCTGCAGAATTAAAATGCCCATGAACCTGAGCCTATATGATTAAAAGTTAGCATTCAGGTGTCCAATCTATGGGCAGGATTTTATATCCACAAATTAAACTCTGAATTATAAGCATCTTTCTCACCTCCCTGTATTTTGGAAATGGTGGAATTCTTTCCAGCTGGTGTTATGGGTGGTGTAGGTTTGTGGGACTGTCCAGTAGCGCGATACATCGCCATCACCCACAAGTGACATTCATTTTCATCATCACTTGCATACAGTATGCTGTCACCTTCCTTCACAGCATTGAAGAAGAAACGACCGCCTTCCAAATCTGGTAACAGGAATGTAAAACAGGGCATGGAAAGTCATATTCATACTAGTCATGTTTTGAAATATAAACAGGGCGGTGTTCTTTAGATAAAAACAGGATGATGGATAATGTCCAGAAACATAATATTGGCACCAAGAAACGAGTTAATTAATTTTGTTCCACTCTAAATTAAAAATCATTAAATTAAATTAAAAATTCTTCTTTTAAGAACAGGAGAGAGTAAAATAATATGAAATGACAGCAGCCACGCAGGTCCATCCAAAATATGTTTAGTTCTGTTTATGTTAGTCATACAACAGTTGTCAACATTTCACAATGCCCAGGCATTCATAATCATGCACACAATGCTGTAACCATTACGTCTGTTTAAGGCAGGTTTTACTGTATTTTCCACTCTAATCAGAGAAGTAATTCAATCGCTTTATGGGAAGTACTTAATCAACCCCCTCAAAAGTGTATTTTAGAATATCTTAGCTGTAAAAAAAAGAAACAGATGAAATAATGTACTATATACCAATGAAATCCTTTATCAATATATTCACCACTGGTCGCTTCCAAGGACCTCATGACAGAGAGTCCAGTTTATCTTGTTGAACTTTTACCGATACTGATATTGATGTTTGAAATCTCATTATTTTTGGGGGGCACTGCCACCCATAATTGTCTATATCATGCATTGAAAGATTAAAAAACTTATTGTAACAAATACTTAGTTCTTCCTTTGGTATCATTCCTGTTTGAACAATATAACCTGACTGATTATATCCAGTTTAATTCTCAATAGCAATTTACTAAACTGGAAGCAAAACATTATAAAATTGAACTAAAATTAAAAATATAATGCATGCTTATGACTGCCATTAATAAAAATACGTGTTGTTATGTAAAAGGGGAACTTACCCATTCCAACCATAAGATTTGCTGGAAGAAAGGAACATATTTTAATTACTCTTGTAACCTCATAATCTTTAATTCTGATATAGTAGAACAACCTACATTCACTGCTGTTTTAAGAACATTTAATATGAGCACAATTCATAATTTAAACTTTATAGCATTTGACAAAACTGCCAATTTGTCATTCTCTCTTCTTTTCTTCTTATTTGCCCTATGTCACATGCAAGCTGGTTCCTTCAGATATTCTGCACCCCACCCCACCCCACCACACATCACCCAAAATCATGGACTTTGTGCCTGTTCCTGAAGCAAAGAACATATCCATGACATCAGGCACAATAAGGGCAAGACAAAATATGCAACTACTGAAAATCTCAAGAAAATTTGGACATTTTACATGTTACTACTAACAGAGAAAACATGGATACCTATGACCAATATTACACGTATAAATTTAATAAGGAAGGAAATAAGGAAATTTAATAAAGAATGTGAGGGGTGTGGGATATCATAATTCATAGGTGGTTGTTAAGAATCACAATCTAGGTGGCACTGAAAATGGCTGACAAGATGAAATGCATCTGGTAAGGGAACCTAACAGAATCTCCTGTGATCAGTGCAAATGGTCACTCATATGCATGCGCATTAAATCTGTGTCTGCTGTACAGAACTGTGAATTCTGCATCCATGGAAATTTTAGTCCATGGAAATCGCTTGAAAGGGACAGTATAATCAAACTATTACAAAAAATCCATGTTGCTGCAATTATTATGAACATACAGTAAAATCCCAATAAGGCAAAATGTGAGAATTCTTTTTAAAGATGTTTATAAAAACTGTCAAAATTCTATCATCTTTCTATATGAATTTATAATGATTTCGAAAATATCTGTAATACAGGTGCTTCACCAGTCATGTAAAGCTTATACTCCCAAAAACCACTTAAATAAGGAATAGAATATTTCATTTGTTTCATTCTGGTCCGTCACACTAACAATTACAAAGGCAAAAATAATACCGTCTAATGTGACTATTTAAGTTTTATTACTTGACGATTTATCTCCCTTACATGCTTTGGCCCTTACGGATCATCCTCAGAGGGTATCAATACTTTCGGAAACTACTATTACAATAGGTGTTAATTGTATGGATACATATATAATGTCTAAAATGCACAATATATGCAATGTTCAACCTTCCACATTCATGGCAGCCTTCTTGGCGTTAAAACTTTTTTAAAACATTGCGTATATTGTGCATTTTAGACATCACATGTGTATCCATACAATTAACACCTATTGTAATAGTAGTTTCCAAAAGTACTGATACCCTCTGAGAATGATCCGTAAGGGTCAAAACATGTAAGGGAGATAAATCCTCAAGTAATAAAACGAAAATAGTCACATTAGATGGTATTATTTTTGCCTTTGGAATAGAATATTGTCATGTGACAGTAAATATGCACAAGGTTTGTATTCATTATTGACTTTGCTCGTATTGGATGCTTGATATTTGTAAATACTGTGACATGATGCCTGAAAGCTGCAATGGTCCATTGCTAGGCAGTGGCTCACCACGAAATTAACACACGTTCCTGCGGCAACGAATAGATGCGGAATAGTCCATTGCTAGGCACTCAGTAAACACATTTTCCATGGATATAGTGTTCTCAGTGTGTTTTCTGAGCGTGGTCCATGCCAAGATGATATAAGGGGACAGCTGAAGTTCACACATGGTTCAGTTGTTGGTAGGAGATAAGTATGAGAAGGTAATAGTTGAAGAAGAATTAAAAGTCAGACTGTGAAGACTTTTATGTGCTGTAGTACAGTGACATCTGGAGTGTGCCTGTTACACTTCCCATGTTAAAATCTGAAAACACTGAAAAGGAACAGTCACTGTTGAGACCTGTTACCCAGCAATGACTAGTGAAAGCAGATATAGAAGACTTCAATTCTTGTACTGCAGTCGCAGAAATCTTTACAGTGTGTAAACCAGAGACTGTTATAATTACAGATGATACCTCATAATTTGACTCAGTCTGTCTGACTGCATCAGGTTTCATGAGTAAAAAAAATATTTTCTGAGATGTCAGTACCAGTAAATGAATTTACTGATATATTCCATTAATCACTGAACACACAGCACATAATACCACAAAGGTGGCTCACCACTGGCAGGCTCAATGTAATCCACTGTGTATCCATCCAACTGCATCATTTCTGATGGCTCAGACTTCTTCTCTTTATAGCTACACATAGCAAATGTATATTGTGACACCTGCACCAAAACATAGTACCTCTTCTTCCATTTCTTCCACACTGCTTTCCCAACTGCATAAAGATAACTGAAACAGGCACAAAGTACATGTACATTATACTACTATAAAAGCTGAAGTATTTGTGTATTTATATTTTCATGATATGTGTTTTAACTTTACTGATAATGCCCACACTAAATGCACATGCCTATGGGCATTAGCCAAGAGATGATTTGGACACTGGCCTACAGCAATGAATGAACGTGTTACGACATCCCATAGAATCAACATTACTAACACCATCTGATCCTAAATTCTCTGTTTAGTGCCCCAATGGAAGACCAGCAAGTGGTACACCTTGTTTTATGGCTCTCCAGTTATTTAAGTGTAATTAAGATAGAGCGTGAAAGAAGTGCTAATGAATCCAATCATCTGTACTAGAACCCATCATTTCGTCGCATATACCACCCTACACAACAATATCACAAAACCGATCAGGGCAGAAAATATTTAATTTCCTCTTTTGATGCTGGAATGGACTCAGTAAAAATATGAATAAAGAGAGGGACAGGAAACTTCGTGAATGTGACAGCCTGCACCACACAATGTTTAACACAATTTCAAGTGAAATTACCATTATGAAGTTTGAGGAGTTAACACAAGGCTAGAAATAAACTGACAGCCTTCCTAATGTTAAAAGTAAAAATTCTCAAATTTATAGTCGATCCGAGGCTTTCATGGAGGTTAATTTTAAAATTATGTCTCTTGGAATGTAAGGTCATATAGTATGGTAGATGGACACCAGTGTTTTGTCAGGAAGTTATTGACCAGACTAAGCCAAAGAGACTGTGACTGTAATTAAAATTACATATCTACAGCACCCCCCTCGTTGGTGTCACCACCTTATCGTGGTGAGGGGGTTTGAGTATGCCAAGGACCCTGAGAGCTATACCAGTGGTAGCATAGCTACTGGTAGGGCCTCCCTTGCTGGACAGGTCAAAGGGTAGGCATCAGATGAAGAGAGAAACCAAAAACTGATGCCGGAAGCAGCGTCATCAGCAGTGACTTGAAGCACAGAGCAAATGATGCTCGATATGGTTCAAGTTCATATAGCAACAGGCGTGACCAGAGTGTTTTGAATGGCTGTTGTACTGTGATGTGGAAAGCAAATGGAAAAACTACCACATTATCACTTTTCCTGTATAGTCTCTTTCCAAAAACAGAGATGCGAACCAGAATATGAGGAAGAAGACGTAAGAAGATGCTGGATGACTTGGGGACAGAAGAGGATATTCTCATTTGAAGGAGAAAGCTCTAGATCACATTAAGTGGAGGAACTGCTTTGGAAGAGACTGTGGACCTGTCGTCTGACAGATTACTGATGAATGAATGAATCTACAGCACCCAAAAGAGAGCTGTCAGCAGGCACAGTTATAACCCATGGGTACAGTTCACTTACCCACAGTGCTTCATGTTCAGTGGTTTGTCCATTCTGCACGCGATTTTTATCCTTAAGTCTTGATCTGCACAATTCTTTGGAACAACCATTTTGTGCCATTCAGGAACCTACAATAAATACTGAAATGAGTAAAAGGGGGAAGGTACACCATTGTGCAAAACCTTGCTTTTGCTCCTAACTCAAGAAAACATCTTCTTAGTCCACCGGGGGTGAACTGTATAGAGAATTCATTATAATAACTAAAAGCTGGGAAATAAAATGATACAAACCAATAAACTGCCCAAATAGAAGTACACTGTATTCCCAAATATCCATGGAGAGATTATCCAGTTCCTAGCTTATATATTTACCTTTTAAGGTAAGTCTACAATCCTGAAAAGTGCCTGACATGTTTGATCAATCCATCTGTCCATATGCTTGAAAAAATAAATGCTGGGCATATTTTCATTAAATCTGATATTGGCGCTATTCAATTTTCACTCTGGTTAGAAAATTTTAATACCACATGAAGATCTACATGCATTTTTACATGTATAAAGGGCATAATTTGCTACATATTTACCACAGCAGCAAACACCGAAAACATAAGCTGTGCAGAGAAACAAAAAATACATATTATGTTCAATGTTCTTCTAACGTAAGACTTAAAATTTTCAAAATAATTAAACAACTCAGACACCTAAAGATTTCCATAAAAATGTCTTAGGTTCTGTATTTCAGCGTCCTGTTGCAATTGTTTAACTTAACGTCCATGTATTTGTCATCCATCAATATTGCAACACTTGTTTATTCACTACTTAATTTTAATTTTAGTTTAACATTATACACTTTGACACGACATGTTTCGGCCCCAAATGGCCATCTTCAGGTGTCCTGATATGTTACAAATATTTTATTAAATTATGTTAAAACTGCTACACTGTCTTAGTCCGTGTTAAAAATCACACGCTGTAGTTCTCTTTTCAATGTAAAACCAGATAAAATCCTTTAAAGTTTCTATTATACACACGTTATTTTGGTGCATTTTATTTCACCTCACACGGGGTGATGTCCATTGTTCATAAATGTATGTCTGTCCAGGGTGTTCTGTTTCGGCGGCGTGCCCCTCACGTTCATAGTCTACTTTTCAGTTATGACTGCCATATGCCCCTGGTTTGTGTGTTTCCTCCACAGCGTGTGGTGTTGTCTTTACTACATATCTGCACTATGCAGGACAACCCTTCCCCTGCCAGTGGTGATGTAACAGCATCAGAGCCTCTGCCTCTGATATGGTAACAGGCCAGTAAACCCTCCCATGTCCAAGATTAAGAAGAAGCATCAAAATAATAGGAATAAAGTAACATTCAACCATTCATGTAAATAAATATTTTTAATATATTTCCCTCCATGCCTAGCATGTCTTCCACTACTCTCATTTGTCATTAAATTTCACATTAATATTCGTATGTGTATTGTTGATTTAAATCATTTATATATTAGAACAATTTAAAAATTCTTAATAACAGTGTCAGATTCACTGATTCTGGAACATTTGACAGTATTAAAATTTACTAAAGTGTGGCAATTTTATTTTACATGGTAACCTGCTAGAAAAATAAGGCAAAAGCTGCCAATGTTGGCACCATAAATTCAGCATGGTAAGCTGGAATCTTAATACACAGTTTTCAGAGATAAACCCAGAGTAGTAACTGTATAAAATGTTTTAAATTAAATGTTCCAGTTTCATTTTCCGGTCTTTATTAGGTTAAAGTTCCAGAGTTCTAAATATAATGGAATATGATGTAAATATAACAAATGTATTAAATAAAATCAAACACAATTCACATGAAAACATAACCGGAAATCTGACAGCACTGATCATGGTACAAAATTAATTAATTACTCTTATATCAGCTGCCAGAGATTACCTTGATGATTAAGGTTTTCAGGGAGTGACATTGTGGGTATGAGAACCTGAAATCTCACATAATTACCTTTCCAAAAATTCCTCTCAATATTGCTCATCAAATACCGGGGAAAACAGAAGTATTTCCTAATTCCAGAGAAAAGAAATGAAAGCACATTAATTACTCATCAAAGACTAATAAAATCTAATGATATCATGGTACCTTTGATGATAGTGGTGTTGGTCTTAGTATCACTTTTCCCAGCTCTTTGTCTTCCAGAGCCAGCATGCCAGGATTTTCTGTATACAGTTTAACTTTAACAGCTGGCAATGGATGCGTTGTTGAGAAGTCACCCTGAGTATCCCACCTGAGGAAAAGGATGAACCAATATAGCAGTTATTCATAAAAGAGAGAAACTGCTTTGAATTCATTGCAGCTCAATTTATTTGTAGGACATAGTATAATGTACTGGAAGAAACAAAGAACTTGCATACTTGTGGACTTCAAAAACACAAACAAAAGGTTCTCAGTGTGAAAAGTTCAGTTCTGCGTTGCATTAGTGATTCATTTTATTACGATGCCTAAAGCAAAGCCATCTAAATTGTGTCATTTAAAGCAGACTGTAGTTGAATTTGGAGATGATATATTTTCAACTGACGGTAACATTTTATACTGTAAGATGTGTGACACAAAATTAGCGGAAGTAAAATGTTTCACAGTACAACATATCAACTGCAACAAGCATATAGAAGCAGTGCAAATTTTGAACAAAAAGAAATCTGTGCAAATGTTATTGCAACAGTGTTCTTCTGTGGCCTTAAATGTATTTATTTAATAATCTCATGCCATTCCAGATACAGTCAGCTGCAAATACATATTGTGGGAAAAGGTCTCCCTTTTTGACAAATAAAATTTTAAAAGCCATGCCCTACTGTAACATGTTATTAAAAATTAGAAGAAACATTTCAAGATTCTGCACTTCAGGAATTTTTGGATGTAAGTACCCAATAAAACACAGAGCTTTACAAATCTTATAATTCTTGTTATATTTAAATGCACTGTAAAATTAAATGTGCCAAACAACTCTAACAGTACACCTACAATACCAGATTTCATGAAACTCCATCAAGAAATTTAGGAGATGAAATATGTTGGTGGAATTACCAAATTTTACAGAACCAATTTCGGATATATGTTTCACTGCACCCTTTTAATTCATTTTCATTCATGATAATAAGAATTGTATCAACTGAAAAAGGACTGGATGACTGAATTATAAGTTGGAGATGATATCTGAGAGAACAGTCCTGACATATTCCAAAGCATTTTCCTAACATTTGTCTTGAAGGACTGAAGAAAGCCAAAATGAGAAAGAGGACATCTATCAAGATGGCTGCCTTCAGGTCTAGATTCAGACTGGTGACCTTAAAAATGTAAAGGTCTCTTATAGATGAACCTTAAAGTCTGATTTGGAGATGTAACAGCATGTGTTGGAAAAGCCAGTTTGGGGAAGAGGTGTCTGAGTTGCAGTTGGACAGGAAAGTCTGTAAGTAATACACATCCTACAAAATAAAACATAGTAAAATAGGAATCTCTTTTCATGAGTCAACTTGACAGTATACCCTTGGTGTAATAGGTTATGCACACAAAATACTCACATTGGTTTTGAAGCCTCAGCTTGATCTGTTTGCAGCTTCTCTCCCCCTTCCACCTCCATGGTACAATATACAATTCTGTTTGGAGCCAGAGACTTCAAACCTTTCACTTCCATTACAACCACCTAAAGGATTTAAATAAATGAACAATATAAAACTGAAAAAATAATATACAAGCAGGGCTTGAGGTGGGGCGGGATGGCATTCCGGTTCTTTTCTAAATGGCTTAAAAGCATCCCGTTACTTCTTTGGCAGTAAATGCAATGTACAATACCTTTTTTGGAAAATATTCTAAAGATAAGTACTCGTAATGCATGTGTGACTTTATTTTACGCATGCCATTTAAACTACTGTAATATGTTCATAGGTCTTAGATGGAACACAGACTATATACATCACTCGGTATATTTTCATAATTTATGTCTATGAATTAAAAGGGGAAAACCATCCCGGTTCTATTTCCATTCCACCTCAAGCACTGGCTGTAACCATATCAATAATCATCCTTTCCTATAAATTTACCGTATTTCTTGTGCATGGCTGCCACTGAATAAAAGTCAAACCTTTATATTTTTGGTCATTTCTTATAACTTCCACATTTCATTCTTTCATTTTGCTTCTAAAATTTTCGTTTCATACACCTTGTCTTTTATCCTACACATGATCTTTGCTTCTCTCTGCTGTTTTATAAGCATTTCTGGAAGGATGTAACAAGGACAAACATAAAGCTGTATGTACTTCACAGCCCCTATTCCTCTCACCATCTGTTTATTAANTGTGAATTTATAAATGTCTTCAGTTATTTACCTTACTACATTTCATCAGCCACTGAACAACACAATATTATAAGTCAGTAATTATAAGTAAATTTATCTTACAAAACTGTATTAAGAGAATACATGCAAATGTGAACACAATAAGGTGAAATCGATCTGGATTAAGAATTCATTACCATAAATGTGTGAAAGTTTTAATGAAAAATCTGTTAAATAAAGCAAAAACATTATAAAATGTATTAATTTTGTAAAATCATGTTCTGTTAAACTGGAAACAGAATTATAAACAAGAAGTTCTGGGAAAAACAAATAACCTGCTTTCATTTATGACATGGACTGCATATAAAATAGTGCATCCAACAATTCTTCTATTATTGCATGTGTATTCATTGGCACAGGAACATGTTTACTGTGCCATTACCTAGCAACAATAGGTGGGATACACATACAGACATACAGACTGCAAGGTAAGATCATGAGCCTACTTTTATTCTTTCAAAATAGGGAAAATAGGCTAAAAATGGCATCATCTCAGAAAATGCACTAACATCATTGTAATCATGTTTAACTGTACAGCAAGGTGTTCTCATAAGCTTGCTTCTTTCAAAACAGGGAGAGTATGCTAAAAATGGTACCAGCTGTGAAAATGTACTAACATCACTGTAATCATGTTTAACTGTACTGAACTATATATATATATAATATTACTTACTTACTCATGGAGCAGGGCCCTTCTTGAGGAGCTGCCAATTCTGCAGCTAGTCAAGAATTTCTCAGCATTTTATGGAACCCAAAGGTTCATTATTCTGTTCACAAGAGTCCTCAACTGGTCCCTATCCCGAGCCAGACCAATACAATCCACACCATCCCATCATATCTCTCTAAGATCCATTTTAATATTGTCCACCCACCTACACCTTGGTCTTCCCAGTGGTCTCTTTCCTTCTGGCTTTCCCACCAATATCCTATATGCATTCCAAGTCCCCACATTCATGCTACATTCCCTGCCCACCTCATCCTCCTTGACTTGATGATTCTAATTATACTTGGAGAACAGTACAAGTTATGAAGATCCTCATTATGCAGTTTCCCCCAACCTCCTGCCACTTCATCTCTCTTTGGTCCAAATATTCTCAACACCCTCAGTCTATGTTCCTCCCTTAATGTCAGAGACCAAGTTTTACACCATGTTAGGTGGGTCCCTTGTCACCATGGCATGGCGCGTCCTTAGGTTGCAGATGGATGAGACACCCTACAGGTATGGAGGGAAGCTGCGAATATACTGAATAAGCAGATGCGGACAGCTGACAAGGGGTAGTCCTCCAGGGTGGGGCTAACAACTTCTCACCATAAAAAATAAGCCTGTTACGAAAATGAACACAAAGCCTCGGACCTGGATGGATATATATGCATATATACGAGTACACATACATGCATACATCCAGCTGTCTTGGGAGTGGACTAAATGATTGTAGAAATGTGTGACGATTTAAAAGAAAATAGTTATTTAAAAAAATACTACTCCAGTTAAATATTGTAAACTTCCAAAACAGTGTAGCAGGAGGTTTAAAATATGCAGTACTTATAACAATAAAAATCTGTTAAGAACATTCAATTATTTCAGCTAAGTATAACAAATATAGCTTCCACAAGTATCATTTACTTCTGTGGGATTTTGTTTTGACTCACCTCTAGCTGGAAAGTCAGAACTACATCCAACTTCGTGAGCTGAGTGTCACTGTCCGCCGAATCCCCCTCCAGCTTGGCCATTGATCCTTGGGATCTGTCATTATATAAAGCCATTAATTGAACAATGTTCTGCTCTGACATGAGACTGCAGCCAGGCTGAGATGATATGGAACCAATACACACATCACACTTATGCGATTACCTAACTTTTTGAACAACACATGGGAATAAAATTAAGCTGTCCCTCATGGTGCAAAACATAATTTTCCTATTCAAAATTAAAAGCATGGAACTAAAAATTTACAATCTTAATATGTTATATATTAAATAATCTGAACTCGCCAAAACAGAACTCACATAATATGAAGCTGGAGAAGTCATATGCAACTTCTGTTTAAAAAGTTGATCAAAATTCATTCAACTTTAACAAGCCCATTACAGGTGCAAAGTAAACAGGCACTGTGTTAAAATGTAACTAGAGAAATACCACAAGACTTATGCTAACAATCTTAATGCATGGAAATAAACATAGCTGCAGTGATTTGCAGTAGAAAGGAATAGATAAAGATGCAAAACAATTGAAGGAAAAAAAAAAGAAATGCTGCCAAAGCACTACCTGCCTTAAGACAGAGCTTCTCCTTCGACTACGGACAGCAAAAGAGAGAGTACCACTGTATTAGTCGACAACCAATAAAAAAAAAACCAAATATGCTGCTACTCATCCAATGCTTTGCAACATTTCTCAGACATGTGTAGTTTAACTAAAGCTACTTATATTACACACTACCTTTTAGCAAATATAATGAAAAAAATAATTTTGAAATATCTATCGTTTATAATAAGTTTTCACATTTGTCATCAGTCATCTGACCTTCCATTTTAAATGCTGGCAATGCAATGAGCTACTGTCAAACAAACATTCATATTCTTCATAAGAACAGTTCTGTTGAAGATAGAATTGTCATTACATACTGGAACAAAAATATTCAACAGCAATATTATCATGCACTACACTAACAAACATAATTCATACACCCAAAACAGAAAAAAATCCATAACCAAATCAGTGAAAAGAATATATCAGGCAATCAGTATAAAGCAAAACAGAGCATTCACAAGTTAAATTCAATGCAAATACATACAAATTATACTTGCATTTCTATTAAGCAAATTAAAGGTTTGGAAAGATCAAGGAAATGCACTGCAACATCATACACATGGACATGCTCAATCTCTCTTTCCCACACACATTTGTAATAAGTTCACCTGAAATGAATTACAGATTACAAGCACACACAACACAGACCATGACAGCTGAATCAGGCCATAGAAAATTACATAACAATTTACATAAAACTATGACTGGATTAACAATCATTTGTTGTTCTTAAGGGTTCATGATAGTTATATACCATGTAAAGAAATGAAAAAAGAATGTTTTCTAACAATATCAGCTGTGATGCATGATAAACACTGTGTTAGACTGGCTCCCATGTATATTTGATTTCTCAAAGGCTGGCACCCATTGTTACAGCATAGACAAGAGTGCACATTGGGCTATAGTCTTGCAAAGTGAAAGATGCAATGGCTGACAAGTCTGACACTATCATCCAAATAAAGTGTTATCAAACACAATATTGGTAACCAGGTGGAAAATGGCAATTATGGAATTTAATGCATCAAATGAGGAATACTCTAAGTAGTGAATTGTCAATGTGGACATAGAGGTAGGGCATCTGAAGCCCTTTGATCCCATAAAGGAACAAATTTTGTGTCAGTGGAACAATTTTAAACATATTATGAATTGAACAATACACAACAAGAAGGTCAAGTAAGACTCCTACTGACTCAATCCCAAAAAGGAACAAATATTTGTGTGAGTGGAACAATATAAAACAACAAAATGACGACAGACTCCTAGTGACAACAGTTGAGTCCTAAGCTTATTCAGTGGTACATATATCACGATTATCTACCGGCATCTCTGGTTGCCAAAAAGTTTAATGTTCTGTGAGATGTATTGTAAGTCACATTCTGAACCCAAAGAACTGATATACTGACACAGCAAAGATTCCAATAAAAGAACACAAGACACCACAGAACCTGAAGAAAGCAGTCTTCTGGGATTTGGCACTGTGTATATGTGGTGTTAACCAACGTTTTGGAAGAACATATCGCCTCCATCTTCAGGGGTGAAGGAAAAATATACGAAATCCGCAAGCGAAGAGACTGTGAGAACCGATAAAACTCTGCTTCTTCCTTCTACCCTGAAGATGGAGGCGATACGTTCTTCCGAAATGTCGGTTAACACCACATATACACGGTGCCAAATCCCAGAAGACTGCTTTCTTCATAGTCACTGCCGTGAAAGCCTCAAATCTTACACCACAGAACCTGTTCAAGAGTATATCCTACATCATTGTCCCAGTATAGGCCTGAATGCTTAAGGGGAGGTGAGATGAGAGGTTAACTGCATTAATAGAATGTCCTACATCTCTAAATCTATCTAATGACTATGGTTATGGGATAGCACCTCCTAGAGAGATTCATCACATAAATCTGTTCTTGACTGGTTACTTATCCTGTAACCAATGAAATATGGTTTCTCTCCTTCCATCTAATAGTCTGAATATCCTTTACTGAACCATGGCTTATGCAGCTTCAATTTGTAATAACCTAGACTGTCTTTGTCTGCAAGTCTGGTATTTTCTCTAATAGTTTCCAAAGTGTTATCGATGTCCCCATCATAATATAAGTTCCCCAATGTCACAAATTTGATATTTTAACCTGATACTGTTTTAACATTCTATCTCATTTAGTTTCTTGAGACTGAATCTCTCCATGTCACAGTTTTCATACTCGTTTACCTACTGACAGTCTCCTTATAAGGACCAGGATATTTCTCCATCTTATTATTCATATTAGCTTTTTTATGCATTGCAATTTTCAAGGGAGTGGCATAATGAAAACACATCATTCACAGAATTGCATTAAGCCATGCTCTGGAATTCAAAACATCCCAAGTACTACAATAAACACACTAAGTACAATGGTTGGGTAAATTAGTACAGGCTGTGGGCTTCTGGAATGATCTGGCCAATTGATGGTTTCAAAAATTTGAAATGGTACTGCAGGCTAATGTACAAATCACCCATAGCCAAAAATCACATTGAAACTACCAGTCTCTCTTCAATTGGAACAGCTGCTCTGTATGCGGTATCCTTCCTCATAATTTTTGTACTGATTAAATTAAACAGGAATTCAGAATCTGCTGATGCCATGCAAGTAAACTGTATTTTCCATTAATTTCTCCCTCTTACAGGGTTAGTTTGTTTTACCTTTAATATACAACAGAATGCAAACAATAAAAATTGGTTATTCCCTTCTGTACACACAATGTTGTAAGAATAGTTGTCTGACACTGTAGTAAAAAATTTTAAGAATGACATGTTCACAAAAAATTAATCAGATATCACATACATCTAACACAGAAATAACATTCATCAACACTGACATTCACTGGCAAAATTATGAGACAACTTGCAAATTATTCCTTAAAACGAAGATAACCAAGTTTCAAATCTGCACAAATTCGACTACTCAGTTTTGGTGCCAGCTTAGGGTGAGAAATGAGACAGTGACAGATACAGTCGGTTTATTTTGATGTTCATGACTTCATGATGAGAACACATAAGAACAGTCACAGACACCAACAGCACAAATAAACTACTGCCTAATCAAACACAAATTGAAGCTTGAAACCGTAAACATGACTGGGACATATATTTGTTCCAATTTTCATGATCCTTCTAACACATTTCATTTTGCTTAAAATGCTTTATAAAAAAAATTATGTCATTCCATGCTCAATATTTCATCTATTTTTACAACAGGACTTCAACACTATATCAGAAAAATCCTGTTTGGCCACCCTATCTTAGTTTTCTTAAGGCCTATTGTGATTGCTCATTTAATTACACCAAAGAAAACAAAGACAGGGTTGACAACATTAAGATATATTACAAAGCAGTGATTCTCAACCTTCAGCAGCTTGCATCCCACCATTAATTTTCTCAAACAACAATCTGCTGTAGTAAACAAAAGAAAGAAAAATGCTTCTCTTTTCTGAAGTGAAAGTTTACAATTATGTACATTTTATTACTAGACTAATCGTTACTGGAAGCTCTTAAGAATATAAGAATTGTAAAAAACCTTTTATGTTTTATTAATAGCGTTGTATAAAACAGTGTCAGTTTTGTGTGAATTGTGGTTCTCATGATCTGTGGTTATGAAGAGGAGTGAAGAGGGCTCAAGAGAAAGTGACATGTTCCTCCAGAACACTGATTGACTTTTATTGGACCACATGGCCTTATATACCAGTAGAGAGAACCATTCACTTTTAGTTCTATTAGGAGAAATACAATTATGGTGCGGTATTAATTACAATCTTGTTCTTAGAACAGAGAAAAGTTTTTGTGTGGGTGAATTAATTGTTATTTTCAAGATTTCATATCCCACCTAGCCAAACATCAAATTCAACCAGTGAGATGCATCCCAACAGTTGAGAAACATTGTTCTGGAACAAGTGACAAAAAATAAAGGCAACAGTGTAATAAAATGGCATGTCTGACGTGACAAATATTATCAAATAATTTTCCATCCGTAACTTCTTTTTAATTATATAATGAGTGGATTCAAAATCTTACTCTTTGTGATATACTATGATGGTGATAAAATCACAAAGGACATGCTAGGTACAGCACAAAGCATGCATGGGAGATATGCGAGATACATACAGAATTTTATTTCAAAACCTGATTGGAAGACATTGCTTTGAGATCTCCGTCAGGTAGAGGTATAGTAAAAGCTACTGAGTCATTTCATGTTTGTAGCTTGTGTCTCAGAAATAAGAAATTGTGAAGCAAGGATGTGTGTTATGCTGTTTAAGGTTTGCATTTTATCAGAAAGTGACAGATTAAAAAAAGGCACATATGCATCAAGTTCTACTTCAAACTAGGCCAGATACAGAAACCCTGAACTGGCCTTTTGAGAAAAAACAACTCTATCTGATTGGTTTGCCCAGCTCAAAATTGGAGTGACAACTGAAGCATTGCTGAGTGTTTAGGTTACTCATCCATAAATAAAATGGATGAAAATGTGGCTTGAGTGCCAAGGTACCCTTTTCTTGAAAACAGATTTGTCACCATTTGCAACCTGGATAATGAGGTCGATATCTAATTCAGATTAGGCCTAAGTGATCTATCAAAAAATCTGAAGATGCTGCAAAATTCTGCTCCTATTTTCTGACTTATGAGCTAAAGCAGAATTGTAACACTGTGTCAGTACCTTCAGGTAAATCTTCAAAGACCAATAATTCCGACTGAAAGTCATCACTGGTGACAATATTCACAAGTTACACTTAAACATAGTTGCATAATATGGTTGTCTTGCTACTGCTAACAAAACTGGCTGCTAGAAGACTCTCAGTATTCATAATCTTTACAAGATTTGTCCTGAAATCAAATCTTGATTTTTGTCTAACAGAAGGAAAGTATTCCATATACATTCAGGTCAAATTATAAAAAATTAATCCTGGATATAATTTAGTTTATTCTGTACTTATTCGAATTGGGGTCCTCAGAGCAGCGTAACTATGAAGAATATGGTCTACTGAGCTGCAATACCATATGGTCACAACAGCTCTCTCTGAACTGCATGATGTTACAACCCAGATGACCATACTCATTATATGTATATAAAAAAAAAGAAGATAAAATTATCAATGTGCTTAATTAATAAAGCACTATGCCACAGAGACATATGGGAAGTGAATGTGCAGCCACACTGTTCTTGATCTCAGCACTAGATGGAGGTAAGCTGTCAGCTTCACTCACCAGCAGTTTTACCCCTGGGCAAAGCACCCCTGCTACCCATTGGATAGGAGGCTGGGTGGGGCCCAGAGCCAGTTTGGACACTGTGGAGTAGGAATCGAACCTGGACCGTCCAGCCTGTAGCCCACTGCTGTACAGACTGAGCTATGCTGGCTGCACTTATCAAGAACTGAGAAAAATAAACATCTGTAACCATTAAGTTAAAAAGCATCTAATTAAAATATACAAACACAACCTGCAGATCTCAAGAATGTGATTACCACACTTCTATCACGATTAATACTAAATCTTGCATGAGAAATATTCAAGTTTTGTTTGAAAATTTCAGCAAAGAGCATAGGAAATATGTAACCATAACTTCTATACACAATATATGAACATGCAACTCCTATAATGTATTTTGTATACCAAATATCATGACTTGCAAATTGTCATGTAACAACATAATATTAGCAATTAGAAACACATATTTAGGAAACAATGATGAATATAGATACAGGCAAACCTTACCTGTGGTTATACCTCTTCAATTTTTGCAACCCATATTTGGAATCCATTGACCCTTTGGACACGGGTAAGGATTCCAGATTGGCCATCAGTAAGTTGATGGATGACTTCAGTTCTTCAATATACAAAGATTCCATTTCTTTCAGAACAAATTTTGGCATCAGCTTCCGATTCTGTAAAGGGATCCATGGAATAAAATCTGTGATGTAAACTACCATTACAGCACCAGATATTATTCAGTCATATTTCAGCAAAGTGTATCCTTCAGACAACATGACAACCAAACACTGTGTAAGGAGGTTGGTATGGATGCAAACAAACAGAAAACTATGTATATGTTGCTGCCTCATCAACAGAATGCAGGTAAAAATCATGCATGGGTGTAAAACTTGGTGTCTGACATTAAGGGAGGAACACAGACTGAGGGTGTTTGAGAACAGGGTGCTGAGTAGAATATTTGGATTTAACAGAGATGAAGTGATGGCAGACTGGAGAAAACTACATAATGAGGAGTTTCATAACTTGTATTCTTCACCAAGTATAATTATAATGATCAAATGGAGGAGGATGAGATGGGCAGGGCATGTAGCATGAATGGGGAGAGGAGGAATGCATATAGGATGTTGGTGGCAAAGCCAGAAGGAAATAGACCACTGGGAAGACCAAGGCATGGGTGGGGGAATATTAAAATTGATCTTAGACTGGATGGGATGGTATAGAGTGGACTGATTTGGCTCAGGATAGGGTAATGAACCTTCAGGTTCCATAAAATGCTGGGAATTTCTTGGGTAGCTGCACAATTTATGGCTTCTCAAGGAGGGCTCAGCTCCATGAGTGAGTGAGTGAAACAGACATATATTAATTCAAAACGAAGTGCCATAACAACATCTGTCTGGCACCACCAGGATGTTTGTTTGGAACTTGTTCTGTGATATAAAATACCCTTCTTCTCCATCTAGCCCTCAACTGCCTATATCCTGCTCTGTATACTTAATTATGTATGTTTATATTATTCTTTTACCTTCTCCATTTCTGAAACTTTTTGCATTCTTCCATCTAGCTCTCTTCTTATTGCAGCGGCCTGTTCATCTGCAGAATCCAACTATGACAGAGAACATAATTACCAGAATAAAGTGATACACATCCCTTAGAACATGATATGCATGTTCCCATAGACCACATTATCAACAATTAGAAAATACTTGATGTTATCATAATATATACTATAGTTCTGTGACATCAGACATTGCAGAATTTAAGATCAGTCATATTACTTGCACCTATTTCTGTAAAACATCACCATCAAGCTTTCCGCACAAGTCATAATACTACATTAGCTAAGATATTCTAATTAAAATACTTCCAAAGCCACCATTTTACCACTTTCAATTTCTCTCAATACCTTAATAATAGTTGTAAAAATTTCAAACTTTATTTCCTTATAAAATATCACATCTTAGGTCCAATAATGGTAGAGCTGCTGGGACTACTGATCATAGAAATTTAAAATATGCCATGGTGGGAATTATGCAAATGCATGATGTCCATACGTCTGTACCAAGCTTCATAAAAACCAGTCATTTAGCACCTAATAATATTGATGTTCGTAGATGAGTCAACAAATAGACACAGATGCACAGCTCATTATTAGGGTTCTGAAGAAGCAATTTTAAAACCATGCAGACACCAGATTTTATTTAACAAGTTCCTCCACTTTCTTCTACCAAAATACTTCGAATGTGACTCATGTCTATAAACACATGTGCTGAAGTAAAACTGTAGTCTTTGTGGTCCCTTATAGATCAGAACAAAATTTCATTACTATTGTCACATGTGGGGTGTTGTGCCCCAGGTAATTAATGGGTATCATTTTATTTAACACGGGGTCAATTTTATGTTCAGTGATTCCTGCGTGATTCCACTGCTACTATTTCTCTCTGCCAGCTTTGGAACTCTGCTCACTTATATACCCGAGGGATGGATACCGACCAACAGTAAACACACACCACGTGACCCCTACCCACCGTTGCTGTGTGACATCACCACACATGCGTAAGCTGAAGAACACACAGGAAACACATGCCACGTGACAACCACCTACTGTTGATGTGTGATGTCACCGCTCCTGCACTAGCTGCCAGACACACGGAAAACACAGCTTGCTCTACTGTTGCGTGTGTGTATCGCAGGGTGTCTATGGAGCCACTGCCTGGCAATGTGTTGACATGTCACAATACAATTCAGTGTATAGACCTATGTAAGAGGACAGCTTACTATTGTGAATGACATGGTAGAAATTGCACTGTTCACAATTCGACACTGAGGCATAACAAAATTGATTGTTTTTTTTAAATACATACGATACTTAACAGTAGCTTCTGTACATCATATTGTGATGTGATGTCTGAAAGCCAGAATACTGGAGTCAGATTGGACATCAATTCCCTAGACAACGATTATTAACAGCACATTCCCAGTTCAACAGCTTCGGGTACTAGGGTTTTAACACACGCGGGGTAACTTCAATTGCTGAAACCTGATATCCACGGCAATGAATTGTTAAAAGCACATTAATGGCTAAGAATGCAATAACTGTACTGCTGAAAGAGGTGACTTCTACATGGTTCAACGAAACATTATAACTGGGGTGCAATTTTCCAGGCGGAAGAAGAACCAAGAAAGGACCCAAACAGAACTAGAAGAAGCCAGAAGTCAGAAGTGAAGTCTTTACTTTATGTGGCGAAGCTACAGTAACTTTTGGAATGTCATCATTACTCGAAGTTATGAAGAGTTCTAGTTACAGTAAGATTTAAAGTTTTATAATCAATTGTAGTCCCACCTGGTGCATATCCAATAAATTGACTCAGTGAGCCAAACCTGTGTCTAAAGTCACTAATACATGTGACAATATGCTCCTGTGTTTGGCAGCAAAGTAATATATATGATTAACCATTCATAGAGGATCTTTATGGTGACAGACCACAGGCAGTATATACTGTATACCATCTAGTTTCAAGCGTTCAAGAGTTTTCACACACAAGAATGTCAAAAACTAAGTCATGATATTATCTTTCAGAATGACGTACCAAGCTATGTTAGCTCAAGAGTGAAGGCAAATGGAGAGCAGCGAAAGCAATATGCCTCCAACCATACAATTTAACTGCTGGAGCACACGGTTCAATACCTGGCTGGTACAGTGCACATATAAACCCTGTGATCACTTTTCTTGTATGTTTACCCGTTCACCTCTGCGCCGTCTAAGTGAAACGTAGTTCGCCTTTCCTTTATTAGACACTATTTCATTACATATTTCGGCCTAAATGGCCACCTTCAGGTGTACAGTTTGTTGCAGTTCAGGAGTCTGCTGCTCACTGCAATGTGGTTTTCTTCCTCTTGTTATTTTTGGTTATGTAGATTGCACGTGGTTCTTTTTCTGTAACGTGTGATGCACTATGTTAGAGCTTCTGAAAGGTATATATGTCTATTCAGTTATAGTACATATGACTTTTTATTTTTATTTTTATTGCTAGTGGGGTGGGACTAAGTCCCTTGTACTGCGGCCCCTTCTGCCCTACTGTACCAGCCCCAGATGATAGGTGAGGGTGATTGTGGAGCAATTGGTGGAATGAAGATTGGCATGGGAAATTGAAGTACTAGGAGAAAACCTGCCCCAGCACCACTTTGTCCACCACAAATCTCATTTGACCAGACACGGGATCGAACCCAGGCCGCCGTGGTGGGAAGCCAGCGACTAACCGCTTGATCTATGGCGCGGCCTACATATGACTTTACTTACGGTTTTGTTCGGTTAACTGGTTTTGGCTGCCTTAAGACACTTAAGAGCGTTGACTGTTCTTGTTCGGGCGAAAACACCGCCTTGTGGCGGTCGGCCATCGTATTGGTTCGTTGAATGCTTTCGTGACGACAGCGTCAGCTACCAAATGAAATGCCTTGACTGGCCACTTCAAATACGTAGGACAAATCGGCACAACATTCAACACCAGATACAAGAGCACGTGTAAGGAATCAGAAAGAGCAGCAGCAGCTCAGGATATTCAAATCACATGCTACACAGGACACAAACACGGCACCATAGCAGATACCATGGACATCATAAGAACACACACAAAATGGAAATACCTAAATACTTGTATACTGGATAAATATTACATATACAAAGTCGGGGAAGATAACCTACAAATGAATGACACAGACACGGACATACATAACCTAAGCTACCTAATATTCAAAATACTACAGGAAACAAACACAAGATAGCAGCACACATCACACCACACACACGCGGGGCACGCGGGCATCCAAGGCAGCAGAACGATGGACATCACGAAAACAGACATAACGAACCACTGTGATGACTATAATGACCAACCAGCACGCAGTAGTTATCCCGCCCAACCAAGAACATTGACGGCAGGGACAACCAGTTAACAGAACAAACCCGTAAGTAATATCATATATCCAATAACTGAATATATATGTGTGTGTGTTAGCACACACGCACACCCCACTTGGAAAAGCTCTAACATAGTGCATCACACATTACAGAAAAGCCACCGTGTGCAACCTTACTTACTTACTTACAGAGCTGAGCCCTTCTTGAGAAGCCGAATCTGTAGCTACACAAGAATTTCCCAGCATTTTATGGGACCCGAAGGTTCATTACCGTGTTCACAAGAGCTCTCCACTGGTCCATATCCTGAGCCAGATCAGTCCAATCCATCCCATCCCATCCTATCTCTCGAAGATCCCACCTATGCCTTGGTCTTCCCAGTGGTCTTCTTCCTTCTGGCTTTCCCACCAATATTCTCCTATGCATTCCTCATCTCCCCCATTCGTGATACATGCCCTGCCCACCTCATCCTCCTTGACTTGATCATTCTAATTATACTTGGAGAAGAGTACACGTTATTAAGTTCCTCATTATGCAGTTTTGTCCAACCTCCTGTCACTTCATCCCTCTTCGGTCCAAATATTCTTAACACCCTGTTCTAGAATACCCTCAGTCTATGTTCCTCCCTTAATGTTAAGAGACCAAGGTTAACACCCATACAGAACCACAGGCAAAATTATAGTTTTGTATGTTCTAATTTTTATGTTTTTGGACAGCAGACAAGAAGACAAAAGGTTCTGGACTGAATGGTAGCAAGTGTTACCCGAGTTCAATCTCCTCTTAATTTCCTCCTCAAACAGGTTTTGATATGTTATCATCATTCCCAAATATCTGAACTGTGCCACATTTTCAAAACATTTGTTTCTTTCATGTGCAACCTACATAACCAAAAATAACAAGAGGCAATAACAATAAAAGGAAGAAAACAGTATTACAGTGAGCAGCAGACTCCTGAACTACAACAACCTGTACACTTCAAGATGGCCATTTAGGTCGAAATATATAGTGAAATGGTGTCCAATAAAGGAACAACGAACTATGTTGCACGTAGCAGAGACCCCTAAGTCAGATCAGTTTACAACCATGAATAATCATTAGTTCTTAATTTCTACCAGTCCTATTTGCTGAATTATATTGTGGCATTGAGACCTGTTGCTAGGTGGCGACCACAAGATAAGCGGCTGTTGCTAGGCAGCAGCTCGCAAACAACAAGAGACAAACAATGTTTTCTGAGCAGTCCACTCAGCAACAGTGGAATAGTGTTTTCTGTGTGGTCCATTTTGAGATGTTATAAGCAGGGCAATTGGAGCAATGACAATATGCTTATCTTCTATTAGAAACTTAACTGAATATAGGCATGATCTGCTTTGCAAAGCCTGTGCCAACAAAGGACTTGTATACAGCGCATAAGGAAGAAAGGAAGAATTTTTGATAACACGCTATAAGTGCGATATGTACATTTGACAAATGGCCAGGCATATTCATATGACACAAACGCATCTAATCAGAGAGGATATTACATAAGGACTATTACCACAAGGGAGCCTCAAGGGGTTAGCGCCAAGATGAACTGATTGGTAGTAAAGAGCCAGCCACAAAATAATTTTGACTTTGACTTTAACTTTAACAGTGAGTTAGTTGTCAGCAGCCAGTAAGAATGTGAGCACGAAAGCAGAGAACATTGTTGGGACCTGTCATAACTGACTCAGTACATGCTGTAATGAACTGCAGAGAGAGTGAATTAGTGATAGCGCTATAATTACTTGTAGTTACAATCTGTAACTGTTCAGTAAATCCAGTTACCAATCCAAATGCTGCCTACAGTCACTCTGTCTTGTGACTATATGATCAATATAATTAAGCCTCCTTGGACAACGCTGCTTAATAATGTAACAACAGTCTGGATTTTATTTTGTCTCTTAATTTCAAATCAACTGGATAAATAATAACAACTTGATTTCTACTCCTCTTCATCAACCACAAACAGATTTTTTGATGTTACTATTTAGTGCTGCATTTAGGTCACTTTGTATCATCAGAGATGTACCCTGTAACATAGCTGAGGTGTTTAGGTAATTATCGATTGGTAGTGTACAACAGAAGCACTATAAAAATTCATTTATTTAAAGTTTTTCAGACTCATGATGCTGATGACCTGTTTTTCATGAAAGCAGACAGCAATTATTAGTAAAAAGGTAATGGTAAAGTTGCCCCTGTCCTTAACTAATTAAGCACTAATTCATGAAGGAGTATCTGGTAGTGGATATATAGATCCACATTTACTTTACGCGGCATTTGTTGGAGGTGAGATGTCAGCTTCATGCCCGTACAACTTTACCCCTCCCCCCAGGGAAAGCGCCCAGGGTACCCATTGGGCAGGAGGCTGGGTTGGCCCCATGGAAAACAGAAAATTCTTGATCCTACTGAGACTCGAAGTCTGACCCTTTGATCATCCAGCCTGTGGCCAGTCACTATACCGACTGAGTTATCCTGGCTCGTGAAATTATTAGTAGTGTTTCTCAACTCTTTTTCACCAGCCACCACTGTGGCTATAAACCTTCATACCATATTGATGACGTAATGGAATTGGAATCAGGGTATCTCCCAAGAGTCTCTAGTTTAAAGAAACAAGTGATATTGTACATAGATCATCAGAATCCTTTAGAATCTTCTAAGTGATGTACCACTATAAGCTGATACAGTTTTTACAGGGTTAAAATGATAGCATGGCCAACAGACGAATATATCAGTTGTGTACTTCCAGCTAACCTTTTGTCATATTTCAATTCAACTCAACTCAGAGAGGTTTATGCTGTCACAGTTTATGCCCTTTTAACCTTGTAGCACAGACATTTAAATACTGCATTTGTGAGTGGTCTGTGATAATATTTTTTAAGAGATATGATGATGAATTTTCACTGAAATCCTTTTGAAGATGGATTTATAAGCTTACCTTATAAGCACGCTGTATATGAGCATTGGAAGCAAGTGGGTTAGAGACTAACGTTTCTCCCTCAGTTCTTGCATGACAAAAGCCTATCTGAATAATTTAATTGGGGTCGACCCCTCCACGTTGTCCAATCCTTGATCATGTCTTTCTTGAGAAGTTTTTTATGTCGATGTAAGTCCACACTTGAAGTGTGGTCTGCACTTGCTGATGTCATCGTTCCACGTCATCTTCATGTCCATTTTGGTTTCGATTTCAGCCACATCTCTGTGGCTGGCGTCCTGCCGTTCTTGCTTTGCGGACAACTCTTCTTGCCGTGCTTTCCAATCGGCCTCCAATTTGGCCATCAACTCCTCGTGGTCGATCTCAGCCCTGGTCTGGTTGGTTCTAATTTTCTCTCGATGGCCAGCAAACCTTCTTGGGTGGTTTTTGTATTGGTCTCTCTCGTCTCTTGCATGACCTGCAGAGCGGCGTCTGTCTTAGCTTTGGCCTTTCTATCGGCCATCATTTGTTCTTGGCCAAATAACGGACGTTCCATCATCTTTTGTATGTCCATCTTGTGTCCGTCTTAATCACGTGTGTAAGTCCAATAATTCTTCTAAATTTGTTCCGATTAATCCCACTTCTGACACCAATTGTTGCATGTTGGGTACGTCACGCAACAATATATTGCACAAGTTTCTTCCAGTTTCATATATTTACTGGCAAATGGTCATTCAATACTAAAACTGGGAGATCATTGGTTTCTGCATTAAACATGACTTTCATAACAAGAAACAAGATTGTAAGTCGTTTTGGCTAACAGCATTAAGAAAACACTCTCAAGTATGAAGCCATATGTGGAGAAAAATGTCTGTCTTTCCCATGTTCACATAGTGAAATTCAACAAAATTTTTAAAAGAAGCTCCATATACCTGTAAGGCGTTGAACAACAGCTGGTGCTCAAACTTCTTGATTCCAAGAATTTGCTGGAACATATCATACAGCTGCTCCTTAGACAGGATAAGTTCACTGTTGAGGGACTGCTGTTGCATCCTAGATGGCCTTTTTGAATCGTCGTCACCTACTAGAAAAGAACTCATCACAGCAAATGGTAACCACTGAACAATCCTAAGCCATATAGTATGAAATCATAATACAGTGATAAGTTAATTACTTAATGGTTACAAGGGGCAATTACATATGCTGAACTAGAAAGGACTGGTGAATTGGCCATGATCTGTTTCAGTGTACTATTCTAGCAAATTTGCAGGAAAGACTGAGCTTAACCTCAAAAACCTAGTCAAGGTACCCAGTTCCCTTTCTATAATCTAAACTACATAATTCGGGATCAGTGGTGTCAAATCATTTGCGTGCCTTGAGCAAAATATGTCCCAAAATGCTGGGCATGCATAGTTTTGTTTCAAAGAACTACTACATGAAAAATAATAACTAAATTTAGGGTGGTCTGGGCAGACAGCAAACAACTGCAGGGTACAGAATGTTACACAAGGAAATGAGGTTTGGAACTTGGAATGTCACTTGTCTCTGTACGGTAAGGTTCACTGAAAACAGAATGAAGTATCACATTTATCTGGAGTACAGCAGGTCTGAAGATGAGAGTGCGAATGAATCAGTAATGATTATATTCCTTCTTATTGAAAAGAAATCATAATAATGAACCATGCGGTCTAGAAGGTAATGCTTTAGACTTATACTCGAAGGGTCCTTGGCTTAAATCTTGGCCGCAAATGACGGTCTTGTGATCTTCCTCAGTCAGCAAAATACCAGGATAATACCATGATTAGGACACAATCGCCTCCTTCCTAATCCTTTCCAATTCATTTACATCAGTCATCTCATCTTCCAAAAATATGTAACCATGATACTGACATCATTAAATTAACAAAAATAATCACCATTTAGGGACAGGAGTCACATCAGTAGTTAAGATGGCATAATTTATTGGTGATAGGATGTAAAATATTAGGGCATGCTGAAAAGGAATGCCTCACTCCTCACAATAATAGGACTGAATATTTCATAAAAGAAAATGGTACATTTCTTCAACTTTGTTTTTGAAATTTTACACAATTACTTAACAACATAATCACCTCTGTAGACTACATTCGCACCAACATTCAGGGAGATTCACAAGACTGTCAATATAAGACTTGGCATCCTGTTCGCAAGACCACATCTTGTACCCAATCTTGATTACACCGTTCAACAAGAACTGATAGTGATATTGGTCATGGTGGTGATGGTTGTTTTGATAATATGATGGTTGCTGTGATGGTGATGATACTGGTAATAATGTTGATGGTTGTGATAGTGATGGTAGTAATGATAATGGTCACAGTATTGTGATGGTGATGATTGTGAGCAATAAATGCCAATCAGTAGAACGTTTTCTGCGCTCAACATTTCCTTATACTGAAACATTTTCATATGTGTCATTCAGCTGTAATACTATGAAACTTCAATAAAAGTGTGGGAAAATCTAACATAATGTGTCCAATTTATTTCATTCATTACTTTTCTATTTCTGGGGGGAAAAAGACAAGAAAAATGGAGGCTCTATTTTTCAGCAAGCCCAAAGGAATGTTCATATGATAGTCTTTTGGTTGAGCTTGTCCCAAATAAAAAGAAATGTGATAATTCACAGGAGCCGCCTTTGAAGAAGTAGAGCATTTGTTCAGTCAACTCTCATTAAATACCTAAGTAACTCAATGGAAATGAATCATTCTTGGTAAGCTAATATTTGATCAGCTACACAAGACAGTACCAAAATATTTATAAACTCAAAGGTTTATCATCATGTGTGCTTCATCCAACTTCTGATCCCTGTGGTGAGCCAGATAAATGCAGCCTATACCCTCCCAAAATAGTTTTAACAGTCATTCTATCATCCTCCTGTCTCTGTCTAGTCATCCTGGTAGTCTTTTTCCTTCATACAGTCATGTGAATGAGTGGCTGTTGACAGGGTTTGGATTTGTAATTGGATTTATTGACCACTTATGGATCCTAACTACAAGTAATTATAAGAGTCTCATGGAATTACACACTGCAAATATCACTGTAAGGGAAAGGCCCTGCTACATTGTACTAATGCATTTGGCCCAATCCTTCATTCAGGAACTGTGATTGGATGCACAGGTATCTCACTGCCAGCACCACTTCTCAAGCCAAAAGTACCTTCCCGGGATCATATTCAGAGTTTTCCTGACACCCAAGTGACCTTCTGATGGTCCACGATGTAGTTTGGACAACACTTCATTTGCTTTGCTTGGAGGGAGAATTACCTGGGCTAATATTCATCATCTGTTGGCGGATTTGCAGTGACGCTATACTGTGCCGTTCCTAACAGCAAGGAATATCCAATGTGCCCAATAGCTTTTGTATGTGTGGCTGCAGTTGGCGATGTCTTTCCATTCTGGACGCTGTCCTATATCAACTTCCCCAGACTGGGCCTTATGTCTTGGTCATTCTCTTGTTTCCTTCTCAGAGAAGTTGGATCCCAGTTGGCTCCGACTACAGCTGCTGCAGGTTGTACTTGCTTGATTTCTGCAAGCGCCTTGACTTTTGTGGCCGTGGGTACACTCCTCAGCATGGTCGTTGGGAAAGGCCATCGGCATCATTCGTTTTCTGCCTTGACGGTGCTAGAAAGTGAAGTTATATTCTTGCAAGCGCTGAATCCAGCGTTCGGTTTGTTCTTCAAGTTTCTTAAAACCAATAAGCCAGGTTAATGCAGAGTGGTCAGTACGCATGTGGAACTCTTGTCCGTAGAGACAGATATGAAGATGTTCCAGTGTCCTCACGATTGCAAGTAGTTCCTGTCGGGTGATGCAGTATTTTATCTCGGCCTTCTTTGGCATCTTACACTTGTAGTACAGTTCTCGCTCCCGTCCGTCCTGTATTTGGGGAAGCAATTATCCAATCCGATGATACGCGCATCTGTGTCAAGGACGAACCTCTCTCTTGGCTGTGGGTAAGAAAGAATTGGGGCAGTAGAGAGGGCAATCTTTAGTGTGTGTATGGAAGGCAGCCACCACTTCTGGAGTCCAGTGGAAGGCTTGCTTCTCTGTGACTTCGGTCAGCAGTTTCCAAACGCTGGGTAAATGGAAATAAAACATCTGTTATATACCCATATGCTCGGGAAGGTTCCAATTTCCTGCATATTTTTCTGGATCAGCTATTCCCGCACAGATTTCAGCTTCTTGGGGTTGGTGGTTATTGACTTGTGTGGCACTTCTTTTGGGTGGAGCTTTAGGAAGGCTTCGCAGCATTCCACATTACATAATATCCTAATTTCTCACTTCTGAAACTCTTGATTTTGTTACACTGCACCAGCATGACAACTTTTTTTCAGTGTAATTTACAGTTACACTGCACATACAAAAACAAGTGTAAACAGACACACAAGTAGTATTTATGATAAAAAGACTAGGAACTAAGGCACATTATAGATCTGTAATAAAATATCTCAATCTAAATTTACATCATCAAGCTGGAAATGTTGTGCATAATAGCCACTTGATAATTGAAAGAAAATAAAAACAAAAAAGAAACTCCGTGGCCTGTTGTCCGCAAGCGAACTATACAGACCAAGGGACTGCCGCTTGTTTGTGAAAGACTGTAACTCTAATTACAGAAATAATAAAGTTATAACTTTATTACAATAATTAAAACAATCTTCAACAAAATATTACAAATCATCTTGCTTAATATAATAATGACAGAAAACAATAATTCAAAGTACCACCATTAACTACATACCAATATTATAGTAAGGAATATGAGGTCATTAAGGGAATAAACAAGAAAGACTGTGAGAGACTTGAAAATTAATGAACACAAAGGTTAAGTTATTCTGCTCATGTTGGAAAGTTTCTAATTCAATTCCCAAGGCAATTTATTTGGTAGATTTCTTTGACACTTCTCAGTGCCCTAAGAAAGTACTTTCAGGATCTGAGGGTCTCACTGCATTGGTTATGAAGAGTTCCATCTTCTGGGATATAATACTGGACTACATTGTGTTATATCTCAAAAGCTAGAACTCTTCACTCTGAGAATATTTGAAAAGAGATCATAAGTGTTTCTTTCCCAAATTCCACACTTTTCATCATTTTAATATCCACTGCTGTCCTTCCATTTGGAACTTTTGAAGATTTTAAAAGTATGTAATCTGACATGCCATTTCAAGGAAATATGAAACATTTTTTTCTTTCTAACAGGAAGAGTGAGTTAACAAGTGCCTCATCACGATTTATATACATAAGGTAAATATGAATGAGTTGATGTATACCTTTAAAAATACAGTCAAATTTTGCCATCCAAGATGTAAGTACAGTTTCCTTGCTTAGCCCATCAATCTCTGGCAGTGATCTGGAAGAATACATAAATAAGAAAATAAAATTATTGTTTCTCAGTTGAAGAAATAGTAATGACTACAGAGTATGCAGCTGATAATTTATGTTACTGAAGAGGAAAAGATGAATAAATCACTGAAAACATGGATAATCCAAAATACTGTTTTATATATAAATTTGAAAATGTATGTACAGAGTCCAGTTTGTTCAACTATCTGATAACGATAGAACTTATGGAAAATATGTACTGAATACAAAATGTATCTTTCATTTTCCCCTATAACTATTGTTCAGAAGAATTTTACACTCTGATAAATGCTTAAAAAGTTACATTCAGAAACACATAGATCATCAGAGTAAAGTGTCATTACTACTACGCATTTCTATAGCAACAGACACACAAAAATGGATGTTACAGAAGGAGTATAATCGCAAGTGTTCAGTTGGAAAATAAAAATTGTGGTCATGCGTCTCAAGGGACTAGTCGCCAAGATGAACTGATTGGCAGTAAACCTCCAGCCATAAAGTAACTCTGAACATTGAACAGCAACAGTTGATCGGTTGGTCAGTCAGTCAGTCAGTCAGTCAGTCATGAGCTGGAAATCAGCATTGACATTTAGTGGTTCACTGTGAGGAATATCCGTTGGTAGCAGCCGCTATCTAGCAATGACCATTGACATCAGAAGAACAAAAGTCTTTGTGCATAGTGTAGTTGTAATGATTTATATACTGTTTCTATTAGTGAGACTGTTATAATCATTTGTAGTTATGAGTTATAAGCTTTCAATAACTCCTATTATCAGTCCAAATCCAAGTCATTAATACGTGACAATGGTGTCACAAGTAGAAATGAATTGGACTTATTTTATTGTGCATCGTTGGAATGGAACCCACGTGGTGGATATTCATGGGGACCTTGGAAAGTCTGGCAGCCATCATAGTAAGGCTGGAAGCCAGGAAAAGGCCTTTCGAGAAACGATGGCGGCCATTCGGGAAAATATGAGATCTGGTCAAGAAGCGATGGAGGCCATTCAAGAAAAAATGTAAGCCAATTGGGAAAATAGGGAGGTCAGGATGGAGCTGTGGTAATTGTCAACTTCAGTTCATCAATATCTAGTGGAACACTTGTTCCTTTCATAATCCCACAGAAATAAATCACATGGAGTGAGAACAGGAGAGCGAGGAGACCACTTCATCTGCCCTTCACCTGCAGCTCCAGCTATTGAAATCCAACAGTTTGGTAGTGTGGCATTGTAAGGTTTCATGGAAACCTGTCTATGTAAAACTTGCCACACAGTCATTTTCGGCATCCGTAACTCAACGACTTTGCATCGGCGTTGATTTCTTTGCACTTCGATTGAAAGTTGCCTCCACCTGCCATACAGCCTCATCACTCACACGAGGATGACCCCTGCTTTTCTTCTCACAAATGTATCCCTGGTTTCCAAAGTTGTCAGACTACCTCTGTATTGATGCTTGAGGAGGTGGATCCATAAGAAACTGTTTTCTGAAGACCCGCTGAACACTGGTGCATAAATTTGTCTTCGCATACATTATGATTATATTACATAAACATCTTAAGATATTTCAGAAGTTGGGAATAAAATTAAGAAAATATAGATAATAATACACAATTTACGCAAAAAAAAAAATGAGAAAATAAATGGCCTGAAACATGACAGAGATCAATATATAAAATCGCTGTACTTCAGTTTAATCTTTTAGATTATGTTCCTAAAAAGTTCAGATGGAAAAGGCATCAGGCAAGGAATATCACTGTACATACCTAACACGCTTTTCAATGTTATTTCTGAACACTTCTCGGAAATCATGTTGTGAACAGGCGCCTGATTGTACCATCTTCAGCACTCTTTCAGACTTCAGGAACACCTCAAAGTAACTCTGTACGGCATTTTGGAAAGCCTCATCTGCCATAATCTGAGTGTCACCTTTCAGGAAGCTCTAAAATTGAAATTATAAACGTTTATCATTATCATGATAATACAATTGAAGACTTTGTGTCTTCAACTGATCTGAATCACAGAAAAAACAGAGGATGTGCAACTGACCTGGAAACGCCCCTGGATAGTTTCCAGTTGCTGTTTAGTGATCTTGGTATACCGTCGTGTCATGTCAGTTGGTTGCTTCGCATTAAATGGGTAAGTGATGCATCGTGATATGAACACATACAGCTGAATTCTTCGTTTACGTTCTTCTTCTTCCCTTTCCTGTTTGTCCTGCCAAAGTTCCAAAAAAGAAAATTTAACCATTTAAAATTTCTTTGCATTAAAGTGAGAAAGATTACATGTGTAATCACTGACTGTAATACTACTCTCTGCTTCCCTGAAGCTGTGGTTCCACAACTTTTGAAACATGAAACTGAATTCAAACCACATTTCAGAATCAGTGTCAATTATAGTACTTATTTTCTATGAACAATTAAGATGTAAAACGTGGTTTAAACAAGTATCTAACAGAATGAGACACAACTGTCAGGACATTAGGTATTCTGTACAGAATGCAAACACCTTGCTCATAACAGCAAGGTCTCAGACTTTACAAATAAATTGAAATAACAAGTAACAAAAATTGCAGGAAATTCTTTGCTTTCCTGTACATTATTTTGAATGCTTTCATATGAATAAGGACAAATTTAGAACTGCTGTTACAATGGCTAACTGCATAGTATCAAAGAATTGAAGTCAATGTAGATTCTGTATACATGCAATGTCATTATTTTATATTCTGCACAAAAACAACATATGAAGATCTAAATAAATTTTAAATATCTATCATGAAATTATTTACAAACATTTCCATATCACAGATGAGCTGAAAACTACAACCTTAATTTTGTTAACAGAATACAACTAAAAATGTTGGCTCATGAAACATCTTTCTTTGTCATGGCATTCTTACTAATTTTCAGCTGATTCGCAACTGTTCCTAACATTCAGACAGGCATACAGATACGATGACATGAGAGACACTTTCTTCATAAAAATTAAGTCACGATTTAAATTTGTACAATGTGTGAAATTAAATCTAGAATTGCCATGGCAAAAGCTGCATTTAGCAAGAAGAAGAATCTTTTTACTAGCAAATTGGACTTAAATTTGAGAAAGAAACTAGTGAAATGCTACATTTGGAGCATTGCTTTGTATGGGGCTGAAACTTGGATACTTAGGGCAGTAGATCAGAAACATCTGGAAAGTTTCGAAATGTGGTGTTGGAGAAGGATGGAGAAGATCAGTTGGACCGATTATGTGAGAAATGAAGAAGTGTTATTTAGGGTCAGTGAGCAGAGGAATATCCTACACGAAATAAGAAAATGGAAGGCTAATTGGATTGGTCATATCTTACATGGTAACTGCCTTCTAAAAGAAGTTATTGAAGGAAAGATAAAGGGGCGGATAGAAGTGACCAGAAGATGTAAGAAGATGCTGGATGACCTTGGGGACAGAAGAGGATATTTTTATTTGAAGGAGAAAGCTCTAGATCGCATCAAGTGGAGGAACTGTTTTGGAAGAGACTGTGGACCTGTCGTCTTGACAGATTACAGATGAATGAATGAATGAATGAATGAATGTGGAACTCAGAATTCAATATTGTAAGATAGTGCATAAACTGTCAGATACTATGTACCCTAACCGTAAACCAAAATTAGTATGTAAGATTTGTGGTTCTCACAGGAGTTCCATCTTCTGGGACATGACACTGTATAGTCCAGTGAAAATCACTGATGAATGAAGAAATATGTAGCCTGCATCTTCACAAATGATGAATAAGCCAAGTAAGAAAGAGACATAAAGAAGTCACAAGTATATCTGCTTGCTTCATGTTGGCTTTTTGCGGTCATGATGGCAGCGGCCGTGGCGATTTCACATAATATGATCAGGCATAAATGTTACTAACTCTAATAGCATTAATTACCGGGTAAACAGAATAAAAGTTGACTCTGCATATGAAAATACCTGCAGCTCAGCTTCGGCCTTCTCACTAACAACTGAGGGGCTGGGACTTGTAGCTCGAGGCAAAGAGTTGGTTCTGGATGCACCAGTGCTATGACTGAGGGTCTCGGTGGACACAGCACTAGCAGGTGAAAGTGACCTGAAATCAAAATTTTCTTAAACATTATAGGAGCATAACCAACACCTACAGAGAATTGAAATTCTTATTCCCTGTGGATATTGATAAATTAATATGTATGTAACATCATCTTTACAGACATTCACTGGCTCATATGAATAAATCTCATCCATCCTGTCACTGTTAATACAGTATGAACATCCTTGCCGAACTGAAAAAGCGACGATGAAGACCAGTTATTCACTCTGATGGTACGAAAGTACAGTGGACGCTGCTTATTGTAATCACTTCGGAGCACCATTTAATTAATAACAGAAACCCATGAAACAAGTCTGTAATTGTTTGCAACTGCTTACTGACGCAGAGTCGAAATATGTATATAAAAAGCTGTAAGTTGCCAGGAAAACCCAGGTGGATGACATACAGAATTACTGGGTTTTGGACTTTTTCTGTCGTCCGGAAATATAGGTAATAGAGGACACTCTAGGTAATAAAGGACACGACATTTCGGAAACTGGATCTGTTTCCGAAACGTCGTGTCCTCTATTACCTAGATTTCCNACGGTGTTCTCCCAGTCTTGCTAGAGCAAGGCACGTTGAGGGTTCGAGACAGATACCCTGCTTTACCAAATCCCAAGCCTCAGCTAGTCATCGCCCTGCCGAACCATACCCGAAAATTTCCCCCAAATTTGTAGCCACTGCAAGCTGGCGACTACTGGCACCCAAATAAATAATTCTACCTTCCCATAATCTCAAAACCCAAGAGAAGGGGAAGGAGGAAACAGAACGCCGGAGCATGCAATAAAAAACAGAAATCACCTCGGCCAAAAAAAGTCGCATGTCTCGGTTGCAATTCAAGACCATGTTTGTGTGTTTCTTCGATCACAAGGGGATAGTTCACTATGAATTCTTTGCACAAGAACGGTGAATCAACAATGTTATTTAGAAGTGCTGAGAAGGTTACGGGAATTTGTTCAGAAGAAGAGACCCGAACTGTGGCCTGACAAATGGATTCTCCAACATGACTGTGACCCTGCGCATGATGCGTTAAGAGGCAGAGTTCCTGGCTAAGAAATCCATTATAAAAATAAACCACCCACCTTATTCACCAGACTTAGCCCCCTGCGAATTTTGGATCTTAAAAAACACACACACACACAGAAGGGACAAAGATTTGCGGACTTTCTTGACTTCCAACGCAAAGTGATATGATAACGTTTCTGAGAGGTATCCCTGAAAACGATTTGCAAGACTGTTCCCGACAGTGACACCATCATCTCGCTAAGTGCATGGCTTCACAGAGAGAGAGAGAGTTTCGGAGGCGACAGCAGCCACTAGTGCACAGGTAAGCAAATTTTGCTTTCACAGAGCCATTCCGGGAATTAAATTTTTGCACCTTGTGTTTTATATTCATGACTGTCGTAGGTCTATGTTGTTGTTATGCATGGCCTATCTTTTCGAACACAGCAAAACCTACTACAGTCTGTCTTTTATGTGAAATTATGTTTCGCTGATCAACCCCAAAAAAATAATTACAACTCTAAGCAAAGTTACAGAGTTACAGAGGCCATGTGACCCAAGGAGTGTACTTCCTTCCATCACCGATCTCTGGGATCTTGGATTGGAATCCCGCTCGGGGAATGGACATGTGTCCACATTTAACTTTTCTCTTAAATGTTGTCCGTTTGCCGCGCCATAGATCAAGCGGTTAGTCGCTGGCTTTCCACCGCTGCGGCCCAGGTTCGATCCCAGGTCTGGTCAAATGGGATTTGTGGACAAAGTGGCGCTGGGGCAGGTTTTCTCCGAGTACTTCGGTTTCCCCTGCCAATCTTCATTCCACCAATTGCTCCACAATCACCCTCACCTATCATCTGGGGCTGTTACATTAGGCCAGAATTGGCCGAAGTACAAGGGACTTACTCCCACCCCACTAGCATTAAAAAATGTTGTCCGTCGTAGTTGATAGAAGCATTGTGATGGGCCAATCTCTGTCCAAAAGTCCTACTAAATTTATAAAAAGAACTCGAATTTCAGAAGATAATTCTGAACAGAAACAGAGCAGCGAGTTCAGTCCTTAAAGGCTGAATAAGAACTACGGGGAATGTTATTGAAGAGAGGGTAACTCCATGTTACTGTAATGATATTCAGATTTACCTTGGAAGGGTGGGAAGACTTCCGGGCACTTCGAGACTTCCGGTGCTAGGTTCATGATGGCGATGATGGCGGTGTTGCTGGTGTTGCTGGTGGTCTTCTTGTTGTTCCTCCTCGCTCTCCTCTTCCGACGAACTTGGATCAATCATTCTGACCGCTTACGCGCTTCGCACTCCTGGAACAGATGCAATGATCATACTGTGACAAAATGTACTGCCCTGTAAAATGCCTGTCAGCCCATCATGAAGGGCTCCGTTACTCTTAAGACCAAAGGAAATCTAACGCACCCAGCAAGAACAATATACAGGGTGTTTCACGACTTTAGGGCATAACAGCAGGAGGTGATTTCCTAGGTCTTTGTGATCAAAAAAGTTCATATAAACATGTGTCCGATTTTGGACGGTTACGGAGTTATGACCGTTTGAAACTCAGAATAGAAGGTAACGATTACTGACAATAAACGGAACAAAATAATAAACCAGAATAATACATGATACATTTAAAGTATGAATGTAAAGTTAACTTCGTGAAATTACCTTTAATTTGAATTTACTGGTGCTTAAAGCTGATTTTCGAAAATGTCACCGCCGGCCTCAACACAGGCTGCCGCTCGGTTGTGAACCCCGCCGGACATACCAAACCCCCCCGCCTTAGGTATCTCTCAAGTGTCGAGATAACGAGAACGCTCTGTCTGTAGCTGGCTAAAGATAGCGACCCGTCAGCTGACAGACGCGGTTCACACGATGACGTGTACGGGAATGAAAAAACGGTCACAACTCCGTAACCGTCCAAAATCGGACACATGTTTATATGAACTTTTTTGATCACAAAGACCTAGGAAATCACCTCCTGCAGTTATGCCTTAAAGTCGTGAAACACTGTATAACTGAAGAGGACGAACAAGAATTGTGGCTTATGCATGTGCAGTTCCGTTCAGAGAATTGCAGTGTGTGCTCTTCTGCGCCAATTTATCCAGCTGAAACCGTGACTTATAAGGATCCCACGTTTACGATGGTCCACCAAATGTCTAAAATACTTTATAAAATTAAATCTGATTCGGGACAGACCACTGAACTCAATCCATGAAAGGTGGGGAAAAGTGTGTCTATGCGTTTGTGACGAATTTGAGGTCCTAACAATGGTGACCACGAAGAGAACTGAATTGTGGGCCGTGATACCGTGCAGTTTATTACAGATTTACAAACATTTCCACTTCCGCACAGGAAGGAGTGAGATACCTCTATTCGTACAGACATTATGTAACTTCCGGTATAATTCTGTCTCCTTTGTCGGCGACCATCATTCTCGAAGGTGTCTCTTTCAAAAGAAATTTCTTTTAAAATGTATTTGTTTCTCTGCGAATTAAAACTAATTATCTGTGTTCCATAGCTACGTTTATAATAATATAAGATAAATGATAGAGAGTCTGGAACGTTTATACGGCTAGTAGTTCCAGTATTCGTTTTATTTTGGGGTAACTGTGTTTCTCCGTTTCAAATTTGGTATAATTTTAAATATGATTCGTCTCACTTAACATGTTTCGGCCGCATATGGGCTATCATCAGGTAAAATCCTTTTTGTTTCCGGGGAGATCACTGCACTCTTCACTTATCTATCGTCATTGTTCAGTTTTTAACTCACGACCAGAACGCTCTCAAGGAGCTAAACTTAGCACGGGCAGATATATCGATTGTCACAGTCTTCAATTCAGATAATTTAAAACCCCACATCAAGTTAATCAACGGTGTGACATATGCCTACACGGGAGCCAGGAGGCGCAAGGGGGGCACGTAGAATCTCTCAGATATGTGCAGAATGAACTGCAATAGAAATCCAATTTAGCTTCAATGCTGTATTAAAGTAAGTATTGTTATATGCACACCCACTGCTAGGCAACATGTTGTTGAACAGTTTCGGGGGAAGGCAGATTCTTGGGAAACACTCCAGGGGTTGTTATAATGAGTTTCACTGGATTATCTTTCATACTAGCAAAGCTACGCATAAACAGAACGCACTTATAAGATAGATAAAATATCCAAATATATTTAAGATCACTTCCGAGATGACATACTGTGTCACCTAATCTAAACATAGAAGAAGCATGTTTCTCTGAAACTTCGGTAAAAACATTACATGATGTTATATCCAAAAAGGCGATAATAAATCATCACCGCCGTGAAAATATCTCTCATACAAATAACTTTTCGTTCGTACAAATAGTAAATCTTGTCTTTCACTGCAGTGTGAAAGAACAGAGACTTGCCAATTTTTTGTTTCCTGTGCTTTCCTAAGAAACGAGAGTTCGAACGGAACAGGAAGCTGAGACTAGACTCTTGGTTGCAATTCTTCAAATAAAGATACAATGCAAAGGGTCATTATATGTTTTTCAAGAATGATATAACCTATGAAATGCGAAATTGTCTTCCGCAGAGCGAGACTATATAGCAATTGTATTTAATAACACTAAAGTTTACAAGAGCCAGTCACGTGAGCGGTCTAAGGCATGTACTGTCTTCGCTCGCTTGGAAACCGGGATCGTGGGTTCGAATCCCACTCAGGGCATAGATGTTTAGTTTGTGTGTGTGCGTTTTTCTGTGTTTGTGTACAGGTAGAGGCCTTGCGACGAGCTGATCACCCGCCCAAGGAGTCCTACCGAATGTGTAAGATCTACAAAAACCGAAGTGAACGGAGAAGTTCATAGAGGTAGGCCTAGGCCCACTGGGGCTGTAGTGCCAAGGAAAAAAGTCTACAAGAACAACTCAACCATCAGACTGGCACTTATGATGCTACAATGATTTTTACTTGAAATATATTCTGTATATATTGTCACGTGACTACAAATGGGGTTTGGATTGGTGACTCGATTTATCAACCACTTACGATACATACGACTCGTGATCACTTTACTGATCACTGACTCACACAGACCAGTGTCCTCAGTCTACTAGTCTCCACTAGCCGTTTACCGGCAACGGATTTTAACACGGGAACTGTAACAGTCTCACTGAATTATATACTGCATATATCACATATAAAGTCTTGTTCTGACAGGCGCATTCTTGCAACTCTTCTTTTTCACAGCCTCCCGTACAGAACTCCTGTCCACTAACTGGGTTAAAAGTCAAAGTTACTTAACGACTGGCGATTTACCGCCAATCAGTTCGTCTTGGCCTCAAGCACCTTGAGACTCACGGCCATAGATCTTATTACCCACCCCCCAAAGTCCTTGGCTAATAGTCCATATGTAACATCCCCTCTGATGAGAAGATGGGTTTTCTCTTATGAACATACTTGGCCTTTCGTCTAGAGTAGGTAGCCAATACTCGTAGCATGTTACTGAAAATTCTTTCCTTTGCACTATATACAAGTCCTCCGTCCGTGTCGGCTTCGCAAAGCAGGTCATGCCTATCTTACGTATCTCATACTACAACGGAGACTTAGTCGTTTGACTACCACAGTCAATAAGTTCGTGGAATGGCCGCAAAGCGTCGTACGGGAATTTACTGCCAATATGTTACAGAAATGTTTTCGGCAGCTATATCAACATTGGCAGACTTGCATAGCGTCCAACGGCAACCATTTTGAGGGCCGATGTGGATCTGCATAAGTGTATGTGAATACCTTGTAATCTGATGCGATAAAACCACATTCCACGAACTTAATGACTCTACCACGTTTATCCAGTTCTTAACACACAATAAATAACTGAATATTTTCGGATACATAGATGACATAACCTTGATACACTGTCACATGTGTTAGTGACTAGAGACGCGGTTTTGGAACGGTGAGTCGATTTATCGGATATTCACTAATCGTAATTACAAATGATTATAACACTTTCAGATGACTGTAAATGTAACACATAAATATCTGCTTACATTAGTCGTTGATAGGTAACAGATCTAAACAATGTCTATTCCTCTGCAAAGATTTTCCTATCCGTTTCCAATTCGCTCTGAACTTACTAAGTCTGAATCTGAGTCTCTTATATTACGACCGACGACCAGTCAGGCAGTCTCTCTTGGAATAAAGCACCCGTCTGGGGCTTATGACCAGATTTTTATTTCTGTCAAACAACTGTGGGTTTCTTTATATGGGGCGCTCTCTCACTGACGAGAGGACGGGTCTGTCCTTCACAGTTGCTGCTGGCCCTCACCAGCTCAGTCATTCTCGGGTCCGAGTCTCCTGGAACTCGAGACCATATTTTACTGTCTCAGATTCGAGACTTCCATTTTCGTCGCCTCCTACGACTCGCAGGGTCACGGCGGAGGTATTCGGGCGCACCTCCACGCGGCTTGCCCAAAGTCAAAGTTATTACGACCAACGGTCAGCCAGCCAGTCTGCCTTGGAATAAAGAACCCATCTGGGGGCTTAATACCAGATCTTTATTACTGTCAGTTACAAATTTGTTGACGTGGAGCGCTCTCTCTGACGAGAGGACGAATCTGCCGTTTGCCAGAGTAACAGAAGTATTAAGTATGTTGTCAATATGCACAATTTCATGCTGTTATATGTGTATACAACATATAAGAGGCCTCTGGACCTGTCAGTCCAGGCTCAGTACTTGTGACATTACAGTGACTTGTGTTTTCTTTGTGGTCTGTGCAACGCAACGGTAAAACTGTTTTTTTACACGGTCCGTGCTGCGCCTCTATAGAGATTCCCAGAATAACCAGCGGCAGTAGAAGCTAGGATTAGTTGAGTACATATTCGGACAGCGTGATTAAAGACTAAGTGAGAAGACGATTTCATAGTGAGTTCAAGTGCTAGTTTCTGTGTTGATATCCGTTGCCAGGATACGACCAGTGAAGACGGAGGATCGAAGTGCGTGTGCAGCGGTGAACTGAAAGTGTGCAGAATAGAGATAGCGTTATAATTGAGTGTGACTTGGAGAACTTGTAACCGAAATGCAAACAAATCCAATCGTCCGATCTAGAAGTCGCTATTTTCGTCCCGCGGTACCACCCTACACGTGACAATATAAAAGTGAAAGCAAATACATCAACATATCAGTAAAAGGGGCACACGCCTGACCCAGGAAAACCACGCACAAGGAATTCATAAGTACACAGTAACACACATACAGACATATATAGGAGGAAACTGTACAGAATTATAATAAATCTGGCATTGACAATCATATATTATACATCACAAAATATGTATGAACAC